ATACACGACAGAAGGAAGTGCACTAGGGGATAAGATGAGCAATTAAAACTTTCTTTTTAGACAAAAGGCAATAGTTTTTGCACAATTGGGTTACACTGTAGCAGAGTATAGCAAAACATGAGCCACTGTGTGTACTGATGCCATATAAATAAGTATTTTCCTTGGGTGTTCTGGCACAGTGATACACAGATCAATGGTTCTCCAAATGGGATCTGGGGACCCCCAGGAATCCTTCAGGTGGTTCCAGGGGGTCCCCAGCAAAAAGACAAAAGTGTAATTTTAAAAAAGCATGGCACCTTTTAAAACTTAATAATAGTAACCATAATTCTTTTAATTCTACAATTCCTTCCATAAGTAACACAGTGACTGAATGTTTTGGTCATGGGTTTTATAGACTTACTGTAAAAGCAATCTAAATCTAAAAGCAAAAATCAGATGCAATGTTTCCCCCAGGATTTTCTGCAGGGGAGGTAGTATAACCCCCCAAATGTACTGGCAGTGCGGAGCGGGTGTGTTACTGATAGGAGGTGTCATCAAAGACGTGGTTCACTAATTTTTACCTGTTTAGTAAGAAAGAAGTTTAAGAAAATGTTACAAATTGAATCAATATCATTGAACTTGAATGATAGGAGAAACACTGTGTTACAACCCAGCTCGTTAGGGTAGGGCAGTAACAAGGTATTTGGGTTAAATTAAGGTGGTAAGGACAACTGAAATCAGGTTGAGTCGAAGTTTAATTAAATGAGTTGTCTCCAAAAAAAAAAACACAACAAAAGGAGGCTATGTAGGTACTGACAAAAAAACACTTAACAAAAGGAGATCAGTACCTACATGCTGTACAGGAATGTAGTGTAACCAAACAAACAATTTTCCCCCTTAAAGGGTGCCACTCACACTCTAGTTCACAAAGGTTTTTACTGACAAGAGTCACTTAAGCCGGCAACCAACAAACAGATCAGATTTAAACACTCAAGACATTCACAGGGGTACACAACCAACAACAAGGCGAACTGATCACTGGCTCACAGTCGCCTCGAAGTGCAGGAACACAAACTATTTGTAGGCCAGCTGGTGTTGATTGGTGAGTTCTGGTTGGCAGGTTCGGTAGGATCCTCGGCCACACCAATCAGACGCCAGCAAACAGCAACCAGGAAGTGGGTGGTTCCAGGTCCAGGGGAACCAATCCTCAACAGGTGCTTGCCGTGGGGATTTGCATACAGCTCAGAGAAATCCAAAACACAACTACTCTAAGGCAGCCAGCGGCGGCCGTAACACTCCCCCCCTTAAATTACAAGCCCCCGTGGCTTGGCAATAAATCTACTAACTTAACTAATCTCTACAGTCTCGACAAAGCATCAGCTAGCACATTTTCAGACCCCTTCTTATGTCGGATGTCGAGGTTGAAGTCCTGAACCACCAGTGCCCATCGCATGAGTCGCTGGTTGTGGTTAAACATGCGAGACAGAAAAACAAGGGGATTATGATCAGTGAACACAACAACAGGCAGAGGAGTAGACCCAACATAGACCTCAAAGTGCTGTAGTGCTAACAACAGAGCAAGGGCTTCCTTTTCAATGGTGGAATAATTTATCTGGTGTCGGTTGAACTTGCGGGAAAAGTAAGCAACAGGATGGTCAAAACCATCCTCCCCTTCCTGTAACAGGACAGCACCAGCGCCCACTGCACTGGCGTCTACCTCAAGCTTTTTGGGCAAAGACTCACATGACAGGAACTGGTTATGCAACAACTTAAGCGGCCCACGGGGTGTGTGGCCAAAAACAAGCTGTGCAGGACTAAAGCCAATAGACTCCTGCACAGCATCACCAGCCGCAAATAGGACAAAGGGAACTCCCTCGTCCCACTGTTTCTCTGTCTCCACACAGTATTTTCTGAGCATCGACTTTAGCGTCTGATGCCAGCGTTCTAAAGCTCCTTGCGACTGGGGGTGATACGCCGAGGACACAATGTGATGCACACTCAAACTCTTGAGTACCTGTCTGAAGAGACCAGACTTAATATTAGAGCCCTGGTCGGTCTGGATCACCCGCGGCAATCCAAACGTAGAGAAGAACTTCAGTAAAACTTTTACTATGGCAGTAGCGGTTATCGACCGGAGCGGAATAGCCTCTGGGTAACGAGTGGCGGCGCACATAATAGTCAATAAGTACTGATTACCACTTTTAGTTCGAGGTAGAGGGCCAACACAGTCAATAATCACCCGCTCAAAGGGCTCTGCTATCACAGGAATGGGATTTAAAGGCGCGGGGGGGACAGTCTGATTAGGTTTCCCGACAACCTGACACACATGGCACGCACGGCAGTGTTTAGAAACATCAGACTTTAGACCTGGCCAATAGAAATGACGGAGGATGGCTTGGTATGTTTTGGTTATGCCCAAATGTCCTGCCCACTTACTCTCATGTGCCACTGACAACACCTGTTGGCGGCATCCGGCAGGAACAACTATCTGATAAACAGAGTCACAGTCAGAATCACCAGTTACGAAGGAAGACCATTTACGTAACAGCATCTCACCATCCATAACATATGCTACTTTCTCACCCCTTGCTTTGTCATTACTCACCACCTTGGAAAAGCACCCTTTTAGGGTCGGGTCTGCTTTCTGCATCTGGCTCAAGCACGCTCGGTTGACTGGAAATGCCGCTTCTCCAGCGGATGGCAGTTCGGGGCCAGCCGGGGGCCTTTGATTAGCAGACTCGTCCTGGGTTGGTAATACGGAGCTCTCAACCTCTTTCTCGCTTTCTGTGTCACCTGAAAAAAGTGACAGGAACAAACTGTCACGCAATGATGCTTCATAGTCATCGGGGCTAATGTCATGGGAGCGTGCGCGAGTTACAGCGCATGCAGGAAACACATTCGGGGGGGTCTGATCTGAGGTCTGGATCCCATCACACTGAGGGCGATCCAGAACTTCTAATGTGGGAGTTACCTTACCTCCCGCAATATCGTTCCCCATCAGGAGCATGATACCGGGGATTGGCAGTTCAGTACAAACCGCTACTGGGAAGAAACCAGTAGCCAGGGAGGACTGAATATGGACGCGGTGCACTGGTCGTGGCACGTAACCCATCTCAACTCCCCTAAGGACAGAACTGTAGTGACAGGCAGAGCTATCAGAGAAAGGCAAAACTGAAGAAAGGATTACAGATTGCGAACATGCAGTCTCTCTCAAAGCACATATTGGGTGTTTATCAGCTGACTCTCCAGTCAGTGACACAAAGGCATCAAACATGAATGGCTTAAAACAGTCATCAATTTTCTGGTCAGACAAGTAAGTGTTCACCCCACGATCTGCTTTAATCAGTCCTACCCCTTTTGGTTGAACAGAGCGTGAGGACTGCTCTCTGCGTTTTAGTGTCAAGCAATTTGCAATGACATGGCCAACTTGGTGACAGTAATAGCACTCCCGTTCCTCTTTAAGCCCACGTGGTTTTGATGGTCTAGGAGGAGAAGGGAGATGCGAAACAGCAGAGACTGGAGGAAAAACAGACTTATGAGTTAACACATACTCATCTGCCAGGACAGCAGCAGCAGAAAGTGTGCTCACTTTCTGTTCATTCAAGTATACAACAATACGCTCGGATAAACAGTTCTTGAAATCCTCTAGCAGGATCAGTTCTCTCAAGGCATTGACGTCATTTACCTTACATGTTGTGCACCATTTATCAAATAGAGTTCCCTTCTCACGGGCAAACTCAACATAGGTCTGAGTAGAGGTTTTCTTGTGACCTCGAAACTTCTGTCGGTACGCTTCAGGCACAAGTTCATAGGCATGTAAGATAGCTGTCTTAACGATTTCGTAATCTAAGCTATCTTTAACGGGGAGTGCGGCCATGGCATCCTGCGCTTTACCATGCATTTTACACTGAAGCAGAAGTGTCCATACTTCACGTGGCCATTGTAAGGCAGCCGCAATCCTTTCAAATACATTGAAATAGGAGTCAACTTCATTATTCCGAAATACAGGTACCATAGCCAAATGCTTACTGATATCAAACGCTACGTTGGGGAAGCTGGTGGAAGTGGTGGAAGGTGGTGACATACCTGAGCCTCTAGGAGCACTCCGTCCTGTATCAGAAGTCTCCAGCTCGAGCTGTCTCAGTCTCACTGCCCTCTCAGTCTCAGCTTGCAGTTCAATCTTCCTCATTTCCAACTGGAGCTGGAGCTGGGCTTGCGCCTCCCGCTCATGAGCTTCCAACTGCAGCCGAGCCAGGCGGACCTTTAACCTGGCCTCAGTATGGCCAGCACTGCTCGATGGGGAAGGGTCATACTTAGGCAGAGTAAACGGGGTCTTTGCTCGCTCCCCTGCCTTGTAGACTTTCCCAGAGCCTGAGGGCGTCTCAGTACTCGGGCCACCCCCGGCTTCTGCTGAGGAACTGGGGAGAGACACAGACTCCAACTGCTCTGCTATACTAATCACACCTTGTTCCTCCAATCCACCAATCACCCGTTCCCTAATTTCTTTTTTAAGCATGGACCTGATAACGGGGATGTTGAAGTGAGTCGCTATCTCTACCAAATCATCCTTTCTACATCTGTGTATTTGTTCAAGAGTAGGATGTGTTACAAATTTTTCTAAACTAAATTTTTCTGCCATCGTGCTCAGTAACCAGCAGGACTCCCCGAGGCAGTCACTTACCTACTAGTCAAAAAAGGAGCTCAACAAACTCTCAAACAATTAAACTTTGACAGTCCAGATTCCAATATCCAGCGACAATTACCAAATACACAATTTTTATTTAAATCCCGGACGAGCCCCCACTTTTGTTACAACCCAGCTCGTTAGGGTAGGGCAGTAACAAGGTATTTGGGTTAAATTAAGGTGGTAAGGACAACTGAAATCAGGTTGAGTCGAAGTTTAATTAAATGAGTTGTCTCCAAAAAAAAAAAACACAACAAAAGGAGGCTATGTAGGTACTGACAAAAAAAACACTTAACAAAAGGAGATCAGTACCTACATGCTGTACAGGAATGTAGTGTAACCAAACAAACAATTTTCCCCCTTAAAGGGTGCCACTCACACTCTAGTTCACAAAGGTTTTTACTGACAAGAGTCACTTAAGCCGGCAACCAACAAACAGATCAGATTTAAACACTCAAGACATTCACAGGGGTACACAACCAACAACAAGGCGAACTGATCACTGGCTCACAGTCGCCTCGAAGTGCAGGAACACAAACTATTTGTAGGCCAGCTGGTGTTGATTGGTGAGTTCTGGTTGGCAGGTTCGGTAGGATCCTCGGCCACACCAATCAGACGCCAGCAAACAGCAACCAGGAAGTGGGTGGTTCCAGGTCCAGGGGAACCAATCCTCGACAGGTGCTTGCCGTGGGGATTTGCATACAGCTCAGAGAAATCCAAAACACAACTACTCTAAGGCAGCCAGCGGCGGCCGTAACAACTGAGATGGGAGACCCTTGGGACCAAATCTTATCAGATGGGGTTCGTGGTCTAATTTGTGTCAGTTTAAGGGTCCCTGATGTGAAAAAGTTTGAGAACCACTGCTCTAGATGATAGGAGACACAGAGTTGCTGCTATGCTATTCTGTAACCAGTGTTAGTGAGTAGTAGTTACACTTATTATTATGTATACCACAATAACTAATCATCCCTGTCTGTTAGTCTCCCCCTGGCAAAGTCACAGAGGCGGTGAAAGCAGCCATCTCAGCGGGTTACCGGCACATCGATGGAGCATATGCCTACGAGAACGAGGCAGAGGTGGGAGCAGGTGTTCATTCCATGATCAAGGATGGCGTGGTCAAGAGGGAGGATCTTTTCATTGTTAGCAAGGTGAGATGTGCATGGCCTTATTATTTATTATTATTTAAGTACTTTTTGCTTGGCCGCGCGGGTGCCGTCGTGCTGTTGCGGTAGGCTACATTGGCTTTGTTTTACACGGACAGACTGTAACATACAGAGTGGTTGTTTCTTTTATCTTAAAATAATCCCTTTCTTCTTTGTCCCTCGCTATTTTCTCTCTCTTCCTCCACTTTGCAAACAGTGCCATCATAATCACGTCGTCTTAACTCGATCACAGCGTAACATAATGTGCGATAGTAATAATTGTCCATGTGAAACAGAGCGCTCTATAGTTATATGGATTAAACAAAGCATCAATGCAAAGAATTTGTGTCAATGCTTTTTAGTAATCGAATTTATCGATAAATTGTTTCAGTCCTAATCTAAACAGTTTTAATGCTGGATCCCTCAGCGAGCGTGGTAGCTCATTGACTTGCCTCTCCTTTCATTTCATAGCTCTGGTGCATTTTCCATCAGAAGTCACTGGTGAGGCAAGCGTGTGAGAAGACTCTCAGTGATCTTAAACTGGACTACCTAGACCTCTATCTAGTGCACTGGCCTATGGGTTTCAAGGTAGGCACACTCTTGTCTTGTCAGCAATGTGTGACTGAAAAATGTGTTCTCTTGATGTCGTTGGCATTTCTCATTGTGTCTGTGAGCAGGTCCCTTATGTAGAAGATTCAGATTAATTCTTTATTACTATGCTATCTGCACATCTATTTTTGTATTAAGTTTTATATAGAAGTGAGCCTCCATATTCTCAAATTCATAGTTATCCTGTGGTCATGTTACAGGCTGGCAATGAGTTTTTTCCTTTGGACAGCGCAGGAGAGACAATCAGTGATGATACCCACTTCCTTGAGACATGGGAGGTAAGTTAAAACAGACAACCCACTCACTTTTGACAGATGTAAGATTCAAATAGGAACTCTCTTAGAGTAACTAATCACGCCCAGGAAAATACAGGAAAATACAGAAAAATATAAGTGGAATTCATTTTTACAGAATCATCTTGAGTGTCATTATGTACCTGACTAGTGGGTGTAATGTTCAACCCACCGGCCAATTTATGTGGTTTATGTTGTACAAACACTCAACAGTGTTACAGGATCCAAGTAGAATATGCAAACTTTGACTCACTATGATCTGAACATAGATGGCAAGAAGGACTTGTTCACCTGGGGACTTGAACCGTAGAACTTCGTATCCCCAAAGTAGGTGACTTACTGACTGAGCTACTGGTGAGCTTGTTTACACACCTTCTCACAAGTTGAGGCAATGACATCTCATGTCTTAGACTCGGATATTTTTGTCAGTTTAAACTTTAACTAATCTGAAAACTCTTCGGAACACTTGATATCTGCCATCTAGAGAATGTCTGTGTCAATTCTGGTAGTAGACACAAATATTTGTGGAGATATAGATGTTAATTGATTTAGCATATTCTGAAAAAATGTAGAGTGACAGAGTAAGTGCGTTTTATAGCTGGATCTTAGCTAGGAACTTTGAGACCTTAAAAGGTGATGGTGCAAGACCTGAGATGAATGATTTTCTGGCTATAGCAAGGGAGTGGAGACAAGCGGGAGCTATGGCTTTTTTAAGAGGCACAAATAGGATTTAGTATGAGCTATAGTCTCTGAACATAATCTCAGCAAAGGGCTAAGTAAATGTGTTTTTTGTGGTTCATTTTCTCAGGGGATGGAAGAGCTGGTGGATGCTGGTTTGGTCAAAGCTATTGGTGTCTCCAACTTCAACAAGGACCAGATTGAAGCCATTCTCAACAAGCCAGGCCTTAAATACAAGCCTGCCAACAACCAGGTACACTAAGTCACCTTCCAATGATAATGTTGCTCAATACACATGCGTAGAACAAAGAGATGACACATTTCACACGATACACGATAATAAGGGCCAGCTGCTGTTTAAACGCCCATATGCAGCCTTTTTAAGAATAGCATGTTTGTTTTCTTGCTGCTCAGTAGCCTCGACTCAGATACATTTAAAGATTGCTGTTCTTAAAGGGCAGGAGTCCATAATGACATTATCTGTCTCCTACTGCCAGGTCTGAGAAATAAATGTCTGGGTAATTCTTTCTGGGCCACAGCAGTTTCCCCTCAGGCTACACCAATTAGCTGAGATGACCTTGTATTTTTGCTGTTTTTTTAGAACCATCATTCACCATCAATGTCTTGTTTGGTCTGCTCTTGTAGTGTATTAAATTACGGCACAGTTTTCTTTCATCCTTGGTCACAAAACACAGAACAAGGACTCTCATATGTTGAATACGAGTGAATTTACCCCTTGAAATAACTTTGCAAAACTTCCTTTGCACAAAGCAGGAAGTAATATATTAGTAAATTGAATAATATTTTTTTAGCATAAATGTAGACACTGTGCCGTTGAAAAAGACACAACAATTAACAGTTTGAAGCGACTGTAAAACTATTGTATGAAACTCAAAATTTCATAAGCTCCTCAACATGCATGGAGGGTTTCACCCCAAATCCAGCACCCTGAGACTGTACACCAAGCGTAGCGAGGGAGGCCAAGGGCTAGTGAGTGTCAAGACCACTGTCCAGGATGAAACGACAAAGATCCAACAGTACGTCAGGAAGATGGCCCCCAAAGATGAAGGGCTTAGTGAATACCTCAGGCAGCAGAAACCCAAAACAAGGAAGATGAAGAACCTTCATGGAGGGACAAGCCGCTGTACGGCATGTACCACAGACAAATAGAAGAAGTGGCTGATATCAAGAAATCCTACCAGTGGCTGGAAAAGGCTGGACTAAAGGACAGCACAAAAGCACTAATCATGGCGGAACAAGAACAGGCACGCAGTACAAGATCAATAGAGGCTGGGGTCTAACACACCAGGCAGGACCCCAGGTGCAGACTGTGCAAGGATGCCCCTGAGAAAGTACAGCCCATAACAGCAGGGTGTAAGATGCAGGCAGGAAGTGTGTACGTGGAACGCCATAACCAGGTAGCTGGCATAGTGTACAGGAACATCTGGGCTGGAAGTCCCAAGGTCAAAATGAAAGACAAGGTAGTTGAGAATGACCGAGCTAAGATCCTGTGGGGCTTCAAGATACAGACTGACAAACTGCTAATAGCTAACCAATCAGACATTGTGTTGATCGACAAACAGCAGAAGAAGGCTGCTGTGATAGATGTGGCAATCCTAAGCGACAGCAACATCAAGAAGAAGGAACACGAGAAGCTTGAAAAATGCCAAGGGGAAAGAGGAGCTAGAAAAGAGGTGGGAAAGTAAGAGTAACAGTGGTGCCAGTGGTAATCGGAGCACTGGGGGCTGTGACCCCCAAACTGGGAGAGTGGCTACAGCATATTCCAGGTAAGACATCAGGGGTCTCTGCATGAATACTGCAGTCCTAGGAACAGCTAAGATACTGCGCAGAACCCTCAAACTCTCAGGCCTCTGGTAGAGGACCCGAGCTTGAGGTTGACGCATACCACCCCGCAACACACACACACACACACACACACACACACACACACACACACACACGTGGAAATTAACTTTTTGGTTCACCTGCCAATGGGACTGGTAAATGAGGAGAAAATCATACCGGCCAAAAAAAATTTTACCGGCCAAAATAATAACTTGCCTATCTATGTCACGTAAACATTTGTTTCAGTACTTTTAACGGAGATAATAAGGTATTCTGTCGAATACAAACTTTAAGACGACACCAGATTGAAATTTGAAGCAAAATAAATGTATTGCTATAAAATGTACTCCAACATAACAGTAAATTGTTTTATAAACTTACAAGATGCTTATTAATCATTCAACTTAAACCTCCTCATTATTTTATTTTATTTTATTTTATGCTCTGCTTTAGTCTCATTCCCCCCCCCCCCCCCTATTCATTAAACTTTCATATAAAGTTTATCACTACTATAGGCCTAATATTTATCGTAGGTTGTTTTCATTTATTAAATCTTTGTGCAAGAAAAAAAGTATACGTTGGTCTGTAATTTATTAATGCTAAGTACTAACAAAAACATAACAACCATTCATGCACAAAAATGACTGTAGGTTTTAGTTTTTACTCGCACATAATAAATCATTTTTCTGGTTCGCACGTATCTCTTTTACGGGCAAATGCATGTGAAATACTCTGTTTAGCAACGCATCATCTGTCCTGAACCTGTCGCGCTGCTTTTCTTCTTTTTCTTCTTGTTTTATTTGCGGGTGCTGTGAGCTGTTCTACATGCTGTCACTGGCTTTAACAGAGGGGAACGGAGCAAACAGTGGGCATAAATAAACGAGAGATTTACGGGGAGATATTTTAACAGGGGGATACGGACAGAACAGTAAAATACGGGAGAATAGGGTTGACAGGTATGCACGTTGTAGTGGTAACTAGCTAGCTAAATGCGGAAAACACTCCAGGTACTCCAAGCAAATCCCCTAACGCCCACCCCCTTACATATGTACACCAATCAGACACAAGTAACCTGAAATGAACATAAACAACAAACAATGAACGCCCCTAATCAGTGTGTTATACGATTTTAGATCCCTTGCTGCACTGGGGACAAATTTAAGTGCGACACACGACAAAAACCAAAGCTGTTAGGTACCGTCAAAAAGCTATTGGCGATATCGTACCGAATAGTTTACCCTCCAATGTGGCGGGTAGCCTTCCAACATTTGGCCGCCAAACGCAATATCTACCCGCATTTGGCGCTTGGCGGGTGTTAATTTCCACCCCTGCGCGCATACACACACGCGCACACACACACACACACACACACACACACACACACACACACACACACACACACACACACACACACACACACACACACACACACAGGAAGAAGAAGTGTAAACTGTGATCTGATTTTGTCACAACAATAGACAAACACAGTCTGCTAAAACTAAGACCACACAAGCAATTATATATTTTCATGGTTTTATTGAACACACCATGTAAACATACAGGGTGCAGGGTTGAAAAAGTATGTGAACCCTTGAATTTAATAATTTATTGACCCCCCTTTTAGCAGCAATAACCTCAACTAGACATTTCTTGTAGTTGCCGATCAGACCTGAAAAACGGTCAGGAGAATTTTGGACCATTCCTCTTTACATCAGTGTTTCAGTTCAGCAATATTCTTGGGATGTCTGGTGTGTGTGCTCTTTTGAGGTCATGCCACAGCATCTCAATTGCATTGAGGTCAGGACTCTTTGACTGGGCCGTTCCAGAAGCTGTATTTTCTTCTGCTGAAGCCATGCTGTTGTTAATTTACTTCTGTGCTTTGGGTCATTGTCCTGTTGCATCATCCATCTTCTGTTGAGCTTCAATTAGCGGACAGATGGCCTTACATTCTCCTGCAAACTTTCTTGAAAAACTTTTAAATTAATTTTTCCGTCAATGATGGAAACCCTTCCAGGTCCTGAGGCAGCGAAGCAGCCCCAAACTATGATTCCCCCTCCACCATACTTCACAGATGGGATGAGGTTTGATGTTGGTGTGCTGTGCCTTTTCCCTCGACACACAGGGTTGTGTTCCTTCCAGACAGCTCAACTTTGGATTTATCTGTCCACAGAATATTTTGTCAGTAGTGCTGTGGAACATCCAGGTGCTCTTTTTTTCAAATTCCAGACACGCAGCAATGTTTTTTTTTTTTTGTCAATTTGTCTTATCGTGGACTAATAAACATCATGGCTTTTAGAGATACTTTTATGACTTTTATATTTCCAGCTTCATGCAAGGCAACAATTCTGAACCTTATGTCTTCTGGGAGTTCTTTTGTTCGAGGCATGGTTCACATCAGGCAATGTTTCATGAGAATTGCGAAAAGTTTTTATATGGCAGGGTAGCTCTAACTAACACCTCAAGTCTTGTCTCATTGAGCTGACTCGAATTAGCTCAAGTCATTAGCCTAGGGGTTCACATATTTTTTTCCACCCTGCATTGTGAGTGTTTACACGGTGTGTTCAATAAAAACATATTGTTTGTGTGGTAGGCTATTAGTTTAAGCAAACTGTGTTTGTCTATTGTTGTGACTTAGATGAAGATGGATCACATTTGTGACCAATTTATGCAAAAATCCAAGTAATTCCAAAGGGTTTTTCTTACGACTGTATGTGTTACTGAACACAAAGTACTACTGAACTTTATATCGCTCAAAGCAACAAAATCTTGTGTTATTAGGCTATGCAGTAGTTTGAAAAGCATGGTCAGAGTATATTTCACTTTGTATTTATTTCATGTGGTTTATGCATCTCTCTGTGATTTCTGCAATACATCACAAGAGTTGTGTGTTTGTGCCACTAGGTGGAGTGCCATCCATACCTGACACAGGAGAAGCTGATCAACTACTGCCATTCTCAGGGCATCTCAGTGACGGCTTACAGCCCCTTGGGCTCCCCTGACAGACCCTGGTCAGTTAGTATGGCAATAATAGTTGTGTCAAAATAACATGAGAAATTACTTTTTATCATCCTGCTGCTACAAAGTGGGTCATATTTGGTTGAATACAGATTCAGTATTTGTCAACACCATTATGTCTCATATCCCTTTTTATTGTTTGGACTTATGGCTGTTGTTCCTCCTTGTCTATGTAGTTTGTCTGTGTGTGGCATGATTTAAACATTAGTAATTACATTTTTTGACCAATACATCTTTGATTTGTTCAGAGAATTTGCCTTGAAAAGCCACATATAAAGGTGTTGATGGTTAGACCTGTTTCACAGCTGCCCACCTTTTGTAGCAGTGGTTAATTGTGGCCAATTTAATTCAGAGTTGGCCTTTTTCTGAGGTATTTCCATTATTTTGTCTACCTTTTGATTGTCTTGATTTGAATATTGCAATGTGTATGAGTCATTTTTAAATAATACTGTATGATGTATTTTACATTGCAGGGCTACACCTGAAGACCCCTCACTGCTGGATGATCCTAACATTAAAGCCATTGCTCAGAAGCACAAGAAGACACCTGCTCAGGTACAGTACTCTGACTAGAACATAATAAATGAAACTGAATTAAATAAACGTTGAAATAGTTATTGTGCGCACACAAAAAAATTAATTTGATCATTGTCATGTGAATATCTTTCGTATGGCCCTTACTGTTACTATATTTAAAGTTATGATCTCTGATCAAATTCACTTTAATTCACTTTTTTCTTCCCTGCCAGGTCCTGATCCGCTTCCACGTCCAGAGGAACGTGATCGTGATCCCCAAGTCGATCACAGCTCAGCGCATTCAAGAGAATTTCCAGGTAATTAGCTGAGAAATTGTTCAAATATTTTCTAGGTTTAGCCCTCGATTTGCTTCACTTACATTTTGGCTTGTGCATGAAGACAGTCATTTAAATCTTTGCAGGTGTTTGACTTTGAACTAACCCAGGAGGAAATGAAGACTATATTAGGATTCAACAGGAACTGGAGAGTCTGTCCTATGCAATGGTGAGATCATATATTGTACTTTTGTTTTCTTTTTTTTGTAACTTTAAGAAGATGTCATGTGTTAGGCATCTTTTTAAAAATGTTTCTTTTTCTTTATTTTCTCTCCGTAGGAGCACAAAGCACAAGGACTATCCATTCCATGCTGAATTCTGAAAATGAAAAACGCAGATTTTCCACAGGTTTACATTGGGAGCTGGAGTTTGCTCCTCTACCCTCTTGACTGCTCGCTTTCCTGTTCTTCTGAGCAGTTTTCAATGCTAGTGTGGCCTTGCATCAGATTTTTATTTTCCTGTTACATTTCTCAAAAGAAACAATGACTTATTTTATTACCTGTTTTGTCTCCATAAAAAACATTGTGACCAGTTGTACACATCCTCCAAAGAACTTTTTAAAACCAACACTCCTTATTTGGTGATTTTCATGTTTCTTTACTTGAACACAATTTTATTTACTTTTTCGCAGTCTTTGTCAGTGTGACATTCAGTTACTGATAAACCAAAATGTGTGCCACAAGCAGTACAATACAATTTTCTTAAAGTACCAGTTTTAAGAACAGAATAAGCAATTCCCAAAAGAATTGATGTTAGCGTTTTATTTGTAGTTTTACATGCTTGTGATATCACATGTAAGAGGGAAAAATACCTACAGTGTAGATAAACTAAATGTATTTGTCAAAATGAGTTTTTCACAGCACCAATATGATACATCCAGAGATGTGTCATAAACAAAACACTTGTCGTGTGACTTAACCCTGTTTTTTTTCAGTTTGTGACCATGTTTATTTTTACTGTTTGAGCAGATGCATTACTGCCTTAGCACTTATCTCTGAAAGGGGAACATATTATCTCGACTTGTTTTGGGACGACAAAGTCCTTCCTACCCTTTCTTATGAGTCATGTTACAGCACTTAATAATCATGTGAATTAACCCTGTTACCAAACAGTTGCTTTCTCTTCCCCTGCTGTTTTGCAAAGCACTGAAAATAAAGTCCTGTGGAAGAAAATAAAAATAACTTGCACATTTCCTACATAGTGAAAAGGCTGCTTAGGCAGGTGACAGTGCCTCTTAATGACAACTATGGGTCAGAAAAGCTAATTGTGAGACTCAGGGGGAATGAATGAGCTGCTGTGCATAGGTACACACATATGCATATAGGCGCAGTTAACTGTATTGTGATATGTAATGCTAAATTGGTCATTTCTAGCTAGGGAAATTAAATGTAGCTTTTGAGTTTCTTACTAGTTAGTTTAAAAATAATATAATGAGTGAAATCATGAGAAACAGCTGTGTCCTCTACTGACCCTATGAGCCTTCTATAACAGCGATTGAGGTGAGCATATCTACCTTTATCTGGTAAGTATGAAATGTAGCAGTGAGTTTTTATTACCCTTCTGTAGGGAAGGAAATTGAGGCTGCTGACAAAGACAATCAATCCCAGGTGTTTTGTGATTATTCAGACTCTTGATAAGCACCTTAGTCAGGTAGAATGTTGTCTGATGAGTTAGTATTCTGTATTCAGGGGAAATCTTTGTGTTTTGATGCCCTGTAGAGAAAAAGAAGAGGAACACACTTTACTTGAGGTTTGTTAGTAATGATGATGTGTCCAGTTTAACCTGGCCTAGAGCCTACAAGAATTCAGTTGGATCTGCTTCTGCCTGTTTTCGTTATATCTCTCCATTTTTCCCTTGTCTCCTATTATCTTCCTGTCTTCTCACCATTCTAGTCCAAATGCTCTCCAATTCTTGTTCAAACTTAGGATGGTCTTCATGTCTTCTTCACTCAACTCAAAATCAAACAACTGAAAGAGAAAGAGCAGCATGTGATCAGAATTTTTACCAAATGCTAAAACCTAAATTCCTCCTCCTCCTCCTCCTCCTCCTCCTCCTCCTCCTCCAAAAAAGAAACATTTAAAACCTTTGCATAAAAGGGAGTATCTCTTAAAAGTGTGATGATTCAACCTCAAATTATTTTATCTTTTAACTTCTCACAACTATCTAACTAATCTAGATTTAGTTGAGAAGTATCCCATATGAGTAGCCTACATTAAAGTAGTAGAACAGACTAAAACTAAAGTAATTTGCTTAAGTAAGTTTTAAGGGGAGTATACCTGGAAGTTTTCCTTGATTCGATGGGGCGTCACTGACTTTGCAATGACAATCACATTCCTCTGGATGTGGAACCTCATGAGGACCTGATGGTGAAACCATTCATAAGTGCAAAAATGTATTTTGACAGTTATTCTGGCATCTCACTGAAATCTCTGCATGACTACAATTTTGGTGGATCACCACACAATACAGTTTCAGAATCTGTTACGTGTTAATTTGTGCCGTACACATGTGCTGCTGCACTGGTATGTGATCTTTTAATTAGGTACCTAATATTTACATTTACATGTAAATGCTGACGCTTTTATCCAAGGTGACTCATGTCAGAGGCATGTGTCTTATCCACTGCACCTTCACCGCCCCCATAATATGAGGCATCATGCATAAAAGCTTAAAACTGTGCTGTTACTATGAGAATGTAATCCGGTAAGAGTTCATTGTAAGTGTTTCCTTACCAATAGCCTAATAATTTTATGGCCTAATTTTCAAAAACAAGTAGATGTTTTTGTTTCTTACCTGCGCTGGAGTCTTTTTGTACTTGTTAGCAATGGCCTTGATCCTGGGTTCCTCCAGCAGAGAGGGCTCATCATGTGAAGCCCTTTTGGAAATAAGAACAGAAAGGAACGAGTGACTGTTAGCATTCTTGAAGATGCAAACACTTTTCCGCGAGTACTGTATGCAACTGCCGGTGGCACTGCCTCTCACCAGGGTCTGTCGGGGGAGCCCAGGGCACCGTAAGCTGTTACTGAGATGCCCTTTGAGTGGCAATAGTTGATCAGCTTCTCCTGGGTCAAGTACGGGTGGCACTCAATCTAGAGAAACACCAAAATGCTTCAGCTTTTATTTTCTTTCTACATTATGTTGTGGAATAACAATCATGTTTTGTACCTGGTTGTTGGCAGGCTTGTACTTGAGGCCTGGTTTGTTAAGAATGGCTTCAATCTGGTCTTTGTTGAAGTTGGAGACACCGATTGCCTTGACCAACCCAGCATCCACCAGCTTTTCCATAGCCTGAGAGACACATTGCACACTGGTGTTAATGTATGTTGTTTTGCCGCCTATTTATGATTTAAGCTGCCAGTAAGTCAATTGGACTATCACTGGGTCACTTAAATTACCTCCCAAGTGTCCAAGAAGTTGCTGCCATCAGAAATTACTTGATTGTGCTCATCACAAGGAAAAAGCTCATCCCCTGGCTGCAGCAGAAAAAATAAAAATGTCAAAACATGTATTATTTCTGATAGAGATACAGTATAGTATATTTAGTGTATTTAAAATGGGCATATCATGCAACTATAATTTTCTGATGTCAACTTTGCTTAGACAGGAGATATAGGCTAAAGGTTGAGCTTGACCAGAATCCTTGATGCTGGTAATTTTACCAACAGGCAGGCTTTTTGTTCTCTATGGCCAGGAAAGGAAAATGGTATCCACACCTTGGTTCCCATTGGGAAATGCATGAGATAAAGATCCAGGTAATCCAGTTTTAGGTCACTGAGTGTCTTCTCACAGGCTCCCCTCACCAGAGATGGGATGTGGAAGGTGCACCATAACTATGACAAACAAACAGGGGTTTTAATAAACATAGCGTACCTGATGGTTTACGTGGGTCCAATAAGCTGAAGGTGGGGATTGCTGGTACTCTGGCGGTGAAACTGTAGTATTGGCAGGTCAAATGATACACTATCTCCCAGAGCAACAAAGATGTGGTGCTCATTGTAAGTACTAAAGTACATGTGATGAATTACAGGAGTCACATTGGTTTCCAGACACAGTGTCGGATCCCCCTGTGCTCCCTGAACTTCTGACAAACAATTTGTGCACATGCACTAAAGAGCCAAACAGGGAAAACGGCCTTAGAGCAAAACTGTGTAAAATTAGGTTCATTGTCTTTGGATGTATATTGTACCTTGCTGACAATGAATAGGTCCTCCCTTTTTACCACTCCTTGGTCAATCATTGCACGAATCCCAGCCCCAACTTCTTCCTCATTCTGGTACACATAAGCACCATCGATATGCTTGTAGCCAGCACTTATTGCAACCTTAACAGCCTCTGTGACCTTTCCTGGGTCTGCCTGTAGAGGTAGGGTGATTAAAAAAAACAAAAACAGGGCAATTGGTGATATGAATACACATCAATACAGTGAGTAAAATATGTGTTGTGGCAGTGATTGGGTTTTGTGTGTTCTAGCCTCATATCAGCAAATGGCTATTTTCTATTTAGAAAATATGAAATGGTAAGAAATGAATGCAAAGTGCATGCTGTAATTGCTGGTATCTTTAGTTTAACTGCTACTGAATCAGTGGTTCTCAAACGTTTTCTGTCACGCCCCCCTTTACATTCCAGAAAGGTCCGTGACCCACCAGCCCAGCACATCTGGATGTAACTTTTTTATCAATAATTAACAACACAGGTGACTAAATAAACAAGATTCAGGTCAGCAATATGGCCTTGCTAGCATCACAGCACTTTTGTTTGTTTATGTCACCACATAAATTATATTCATGCAAACTTTGGTCCGCTCAAGATTCACGACCCCCCTGAATGTCCCACTGTACTAAACACATCTGTTCAGGCAGAGGTCCATGTTCATCAGTATGTTAATGATTAAACTCCTTATCCTTAACAAGTTTATTGTAGATGTGCAGATTAGATGTACCTTTTGAAGCTAGTTTGCAGGTACAGTGGATTCAGGGCAGTGAATTCATACATACATAGACGAAACAGATCATATAGACCATAGAAACCCTGAAATATTAATAAGTACTGAGAGAAAAGGAGTAGAGACAAAGTCCATGCATCTCTTTTCTAGTATAAAATGTTCACTCTTACCCTCCATGTTCCCAGGCCCACAATAGGCGTCTTTGCTCCACTGTTGAGTGTAACTGAAGGAATCATATTTCAGCAGGATTTATCAACAAGCAGCCATGCATGCAAGCAGACTCTTACAGCAAATAAAGTCAGAGGAGAGACAGCCTTGTGTAGTAAAGTCAGTGAGAGGTGGAGTTAAACGGCAGATAGGAAGTGTGCTTGGGTTTGATTGGTCATGCCTGCCTTTCATGTCATGGACCCAGGAGAGAGGCTACAGGGGGAAGAATGACTCAGCACAAATGATGTGGTTAAATGCAAGATTTGTAGTGTATAACATTAAATCTGTGCAAGGGTTTATATAAAATTAGATTAAAATATATTAATAATATTAAATTAATTAAAACTGATGTAAATGGCCTACATAAGTACAAACGGATATGTCACATTTGGTTGATTCTTTAGGAACTTTAGCTATGAGCCTGCGGTGTAGCCTGTATGACATCAGAATTTTTATATACATTTATATACTTTTGCCAGCTTTACCACTTTTAAAAACATGAACACGATCAGCCATCATCGAAAGTGCAGCATTGTGGACATTTATTAATCAGCTATAGATTGAGATTAGCTAATTACAGTGGCGGACTCAGGCTGTCTAAGGGGCAGGGTCTGAAAGAGAAAAAAAAAAAAGGTCACCAGCTGCAGGTGGTGGGAAAATTGAACAAGGCATGATGATGCATATTCGTTAGAAATTCATGCCTTTTGAGCATCTATGTAAGCTAGCATATAGACAATCAGTATTCTTGAGCGACCCCAGAAAGGAAACTTCTGTGCAGCGTAACTTTGGCAATAGTTAATCACGAAGTTCTAGTTACACCAAACATCTATGATAAAAGCACGTCTTTCTATTTGTAACGTTACGTCTACCATAAAATTTTTTGTTTACTTGGAAATATTGAGGGCGGTACGGAGGTGCAACGGTTAGCACTGTTTTGTCCTATCTTTCTAAATTATGTTTCATTTTTTCACTTTTTCTGAAACTGCTGCAACATGCAAATATTCACACTGCAGGATCAGTAAAGTCTTATTTTATTTTAATCATGTCAGGTTCATAAACGATCTCCATCTAACCATTTCCCCCGGTTTTAGGTGCACACATGTGCATATTTATATTATATATTTATAATATATCCTTAATATAATATGAAATATTATAAACAATTCAAGTTTGGGCTGTCAGGTTACTTTTGAAACTGAATATTTAAAATAAAAATGTAATTAAAATTCTTTTTTAAAGATAAAGGACAAAAGATGTTTGCAGTTACACATTAACAAGGTCACAGTCATATTCAACCCACGTTATTTTTTTTTAATTTGATTTATGATGTGTAATATAATGTAGTTTGTACTTGGTATTTCAAATATGAGAAATTTTGCTTTCATCCTTTGTGGGTTCTCCAAGCACCTGTACTGTAACAAAAGGAACAGACGTGTATCAAAATCCAAGGGCGGCTCCTCTGTCTGCGTGAATTTGCTGTAGCCTGGAGCCGAGCATGGCTGCCCATCCCCGGTGACTCACCTGCCGTTGCCATTCACAGTCTGTAGTAGATAGAAAGCCTCAACCCTGCCTTCCAGTCTGATGAAAGTACGCTCTCTACTGGAGTTTACCTTTTCTTCTCTCAACCCCAAAGCTCACAACAACAGAGCAACAGTTGGCTGTAGGCAAATTCTTACAGTATATTTAGATGTATGATTAAGACCAATTTTTTTTTTCAAAACACAAGACATTTGCTCTTGTAACTTTTATTTCAATCATTATGCAACCAATCAACATTCAAGCCACTCTCAGCGTGCACACACACACACACACACACACACACACACACACACACACACACACACACACACACACAAAGTGCGTACATTAGACAATGACATTAACACAGCACTGTCTATGAAAGATAGGCAACATGAAGAGCAAAGGTGCTAAATATTGCACATTTTGATAAGTTCTGAAACATTTCAGACCATTCAGCTTCACTGGCAGATGGCCCCAGGTTGTTGTAACCGTCCGAACAACAAGTTACAAAACAGCTGAGAGAGTACACAAACTTTGCCTGTGGCTAAGTATACCAGCATTTGAAATGGAACTGTTCATTTCCTTTCTGAAGGTAGATGCAACTTTGTAGAAAGGAACTATGAGGTAACAGTTGATAATGGCCAACTTGCACACATCTCAGGATGTGAAGCTCCATTTTCACAGCGAAATTTGATGCTTCTATAAATCAAAATTTGTCCAGAGTACGCTAGGCTACATGAGCAATGCCTGGTTTATATTGGAGAGAGCACAATAATAGTATGGCCTAAAATGTGGTTTTAATCAATATTATTGCTGCACTGCTCTCGAAAGAAAAGTTTTTTCAAATTTTAAATGATATTTTAACCTTTGGCCATACCTGAGTCCAATAAAATGTAATCAAAAACAAAAAAGAACACACGTAAACATAATGGACCCAGAAAGCTAAATGATGGTACTGTATCTGAATCAACCTAAGACTTATATTGTGCTATGAACAATTATGTGAGTGAGTTATTGCTTGGAAGCAGCACTTTATCAGGCCAGCTTGGATATTTGTTCCTAGAGGAAATTACATACAGAAAATTACAAAATCCACACAAAACTGTTCTATATTCCACCACGTAATAAATTAGCATACAATTCCAAAACCACAACTGAAAAGCCCAGCAGGGTCCCAAGTGGTGGCCCTCCTGTAGACCGTCGTTTTCTTGCTTGTCTCAGGAGCAGTCAGTGAAGGTGGTCACCATGTTCCCCCTACGCTGGGTCACTGTCCTGCAGTGCTGCTTTCCCATGCCCTGGAATCTGCTCTCAGTCCTGGAACTGTGCGAGGTAAAGGAGAACATTTTCTCCAAGTCCTCAAACATGTCATCAAAGAGTCCTCCGCCGACACCCCCCTGCTGGAACTGTCTCCTATGTCTGTTCATAGTCTCCCGGTGGGCCTGGAAGTGGCTGTCAAAGTGTCTCTTTTGGTGGGCCTGGTTTTGGGAGTGGGAGTGAAAGTGGTGTTGGTGTCGCTGTTGCTGACCGAAAGTCTCAAAGTCTTTGAACATGTCATCAAAGTTGAAGTTGAAAGACTGGTAGTGCTGGTTAAAGTTGTAGTTGCCGCCTCCTCCTCCTCCCCCATGGCCCTCCCCTGGTGATGGGCCGTGCCCAAACTGGTCGTACTCTCGCCTCCTCTTATCATCTGATAACGTCTCGTATGCTGGTAGAGCCAAAGACACATTACATCACTCATGTGTTGGTTGCCAGGACACTGCTGCTCAAACCTTTCTGAACATTTGTAAGATTTTTAGTTTAAGCTTGAGCAATGCAGGGATGTGTTTATTATCTTTTTATTGTGAAGCAAGAGAGAGAAATGTTTTTGAACGTCCTTTTGGAGATGACCTACATATAATTTCAACAGTACATCTTCCTAACTTTAGCAGACAACAGAATTAGAGTTAGTTAGGGTTTCCAATTTAACATATATAAGAATAAATAGTTGACCTTTCCAGTGCAACACGGCCCATTAGAGAAAAACAGTGTGTGCCTGTAAATGTGTTCTGACATGCTTAGAGTCAGGCTTTTGAAACACTCTCAGCTGTCATCATAACAACATATGTCCCCTCATGATAGAAACAAGACAAGCTATTATTACTGCTAGGAATGTCTCTCAGGGAAGACGTTTGAGACATTCCGCTTGAAGACCCACTGTATCATGAAAAACTTACACAAATATACAATAGAGAACCTAACTGACATTTGTCAATTTCCTTATGACTATTCTATAAATATATTCTAATTTAAGGGTAATTTCACCTTCACATTGCTTCATGTGATATTCCGAAAACTTCTGACTGGCAAATACAGAGGAGACAGCAGCCTGTTGTACCAACTGTGTGTAAGTTCAAACAGAGCCTAGTTATAATGTAAATTAATACTCAGATGTGATTTATCCATTACTAAAATAGCAGATGCACCGTAGAGATAAGTTACAACATAACTCTAAGTAACAACTAAATGGTTAAGTAATAAAATGTCACAGAGTTATACTCACTCAGGGTAAAACTGCCCAATTTATTGATTTGGCTTTCAATATTGATGAAGCTTACTATGATGTGCTGCCATGCCAAGTAGCTCATGGTAACAATGACTATGAAAACTTTGAACCAAGGATGGTTAAAATCAAGGGCAAAAGGACTTTAACCCACCTTGGACAGCTATGACCTGGATGACTGAGAATTTTCATAGACTCGGGTAATCCTGGTGCAACCAATTTTAGTCGCTGATTTAGTTATAACTACAAGTTACTAAGCCTCTAACTTACACACAGCGGGTGCAGGCCAAGTGCAGGTGTAAATAAAAGACTAGTGAACATTGCCCAACATTATGGAATGACACAGTGACTCACTTACCCTCTGCTATTTCTCTGAACTTGGCCTCGGCGTCTGGGCCCTTGTTTCGGTCAGGGTGGTACTTCAGGGCCAGCTTATGGAAGGCCTTCTTGATCTGGCGCTCGGTGGCATCTTTGGGCACCCCCAGTATGTCGTAGTAGTCTCTCTTGGCCAGGATGAACTCCGAGATCAGCAGAATATGCACTGCAAGCAGCAGCACCGACTGTGCTGTAGTCATATTGCTTGTTTTGGCACCTTTTTGAGGCTGTGAAGAGAGCAGTTTGACAGCTCGGTTAACGACGTTTCACGATTCAAGACTTGACTGCTAACTATTCAAAGAACAGCAGGAATACAGCTTTTATGGCGTCACCAACGTTACTTTGCTAAGTTAGCTAACGTTAGTTAGTTTCAAGAGAGAGGCGTTAGACTCGAGGGAAAATGACAACTCACTGTTTTAGTGGAGAAACTCAAATCAGCTCTGCCTTCAAACAGCTTGTTAATGATACTCTGTTGTTTGCACTCAGTTGCAGATAAACCATCCACGAAAAATAATGTGAATGCGTCCTGGAAAAGACGGATTACCTGGAGACCAGGCGACAAACAGCCAGAGGACACTTCTATCAAACGCCGACAGCTCCAGCTGATGCGAAGCGAAAACTAACGATTGTTGACGAGTCACATTCCTGAGCGGTAACACCACGACTCGCAACGCTATTGGCCAGTTTCCTAACACAGTGAGTCAGATCGCGGTGATTGGTGGAAATAATGCGCACGTGGAGAAGTGGGATAGAATACAAGCAAAGCAAGAGGGTGAACTACGTACACTTCCGTATTCGCTTCGCTCTGTATCGATTGAGGTGGGAAACTTTATTAGTTATTCGGTGTGTTATTCCGAATGATTTGTGCATAAAACAGCTGATGAATGGTTAAAGAAGACACGTAGAATTCCACGTAGTTGAGCAACCGTACATAAAAATAGATGGTACGTCAATCATCTTGATTATTAAACAGAGTTTACGTCATTTCCGCTATGAGGAATAGCGTTACAACCCGGAAGTGACAGTTTATTAGCTGCTCTATGTTTAAAAAAAAATACATAGAGACGTGGCTCTGTACATAGTTTTCATGTAGTTTCAGTGCAGATATGCCGCGGTACTGTGCTGTGAAAGTTTGCAGAAACCGCGGGGGAACTGCATCTACACAAGACAACAAGAGAATTAGCTTCTACCCGTATGTTTTCTCTCTACTGTGTCTCTGAGTGGAAATGTCTGTTTGCTACCTGTGCCTCGTTTGTGTTATCCGTAGCCCCTTTAGTCAAAGATAATATTATATATAGAAGCAGTGAGAAGTTAACAAATATGTATCGTCAGTAGTGTATCGTGTTATGTCATGGTTACATGCTTAGAACGTTAACGTTAGAAACAATGCAACATTCAAGTTACACTGATAATCCCTTACTGAAGCCTTGAATAGTTTAAGTTTCAAACTATCCCTTTACCTTTTCTTCTCTCAACCCCAAAGTTTCCCCTTGCAAGACAAGCCCAGGCTTCAGAAATGGGTGGACAACATGAAGCGAGAGGAGTGGATCCCGAGTCGACATCAGTACCTGTGCAGCGAGCATTTTACAGAGGACTGCTTCGATATTCGATGGGGCATCCGCTACCTGAAGAACACGGCCATCCCCACCGTATTCCCTTCCGCTGAGGATGTATGTTTCTGTCTTGTTTTCCTGTCTCAACATCCAACACAGTTCCATGAAGTAATGGCTTGCTGCACATCACAAACTTAGCTCTGGACCAACTTATTTGTATTTATGTAAACGTTTTGTGCAAGGGGAAGAGTGCATGTTGAATGCCAACAAGTGGAAGCAGCGCCCTTTCCCTTGCAGAAAGAAGTAGTTTTTTGTATGCAACAAGCTTGTTCTTATTTTGTATTTGTTTGAATGGTCTGTGATTGACCAGCACATGTCTGATTTAAACTCCTATGCAGGGAATTTCTTATTTCTTGTCCATCAGAGGTCCATTATAGAAATGTAGGTTGTTACAGTATTGCACTTTGCTGACTTTACATAATCCCATTTAATGAGGACTCATTTTCTTCTATTTCAGGATGGTGAGAAAAAAGTTACTGCCATTAAAAGAAGCCCCAAGGCCAAGCCCAGGACTTTAGACGCTGACATTGAGCCCACAGGATTTGACTGTCCTCTCAGTAAAAGGCCTCTTATTTTGAGCAGAACGTGCAAAAAGGTCCAGTCAAGTACAACAAACAACATTGTTGCAGAACACACAGAGATTATATTTGAACCACCTCTGGTGTCGGACACTGGCGTCTCCTGTCACTCAAATCTCTCAGAGACACAGACTGCTGCTTGTGACATCCAAGGTGACAGTGTAATGCCTACAGCATCCTGCCTCACACTACCCCCATGCAGTAAGCCCCCTTCTGAGGAGCAGGCAGACACGACTGTGACCGTGTTGTACTGTGAGTCACTAGGCCCTTTCTCCAAAGGAGAGGAACATGTGGATGCAGCTGCCCTCCAAGCAGCACTGGGCCGGGCCTTTACCTTTGTCCCTGTGGAAATGGTGAACGAACCAACAGGCTTCTTTTTGGAGGAGAGGGGACCTGACGAGGAAGAGCACATCACTGTTTACGAGCACTCGTACTGCCGACCGGACACGGACAGAGATCAGCTTTGGAGTAAGATCTTGACTTTGCATGCAAAGATCTTGGAACTGGATCGCAGGGAGGAGAGCACTGTGGCCAAAATCCGAGCTCTTGAGACTGAGATCACCCTCCTGAAGAGAGATGGTGCTGTTTTTAAAGAGAAGCAGAAAGTTTTAGAAGATTATATATCATCTGTGTTGCTCTGATTCTGCAAGTGATTACAAGCCATGAACTTAAAATTAAATTGTGGATAACATTTATTTTAATTGTTACCACAGAGTTACTTTTGCTGATATATTGCACACATGCTCCTATACGTAAAGCACAGCAGCACTAAGTCTGTCTTATAAAACATTGCTCTCATATTTCCATAATGCACTTGGATATCTTATTATTTGTTTTTGTCCACATGGTGGCACTGTATGACTGTGTTTCAAAGCTAAACTGAGGCATTGCTTTTCAGCTTTGCTGTGCTATGCTTCTGATGCATATCCAAGATTTGTTTGTTAGATATCTAAAGTTTTGACATGATTCATGAACTTAGATGGGCTTAGTACTGTCTGCTGTGTGTCTCACAATTGCCTTTGTTACAGTTTCTTGTTCCATCACACCATACCATAATTTCATGGTGTGATTTTTTTTCATTGGTGTCTCCATTTGTGATTGAATTCATTTGGTTTTCATGTTTTTAGCCTTTATTTACATTTGAATAGCATTTGAGTTACTGTTTTATTATCCTTGGTGACTAAGAAGGGCTCAGAGTGGACACATGCTGTCTGGCCTTCAAAATGCACTTTTACTTTTCAGGCCCTTTTAACACCAGACAAATCCTGCTGTAAAGGTGTTGTACTTGCTTTTACTATACTATGCTCATTTTCTTTCTGTGCTCTGCATGCTTTCTGGTATCATCCTGTGTCATTCTGTGCAATCCCCTGCAAGTCCCAAACATTCTGCGTTACTGGAAAAAAAAAACAGCAATGGATTCACTTTAATGGAGAATAAAGTGTACTGTAAATGTGCAGCAGAAGGATTTATCTCCCACTTTTCCACCCTTGGGCCCTGAATTAGTCATCATAGTATTTTGGCCAAGTGAGATAATCCTATTTGAAGCAGCTAGCCAGAATGAAATGCGCTACAGGCTGTCTCTGCACTGCAGCAGGCCTGGTCACAGGCTCTGTGGAACAGTGTAGAGTGGATTGTGACCATGGTAAAACATTGTATTGTCAACCCACACCTGAGATAAAAAATTAATGGCCCTCCAACAACACGATCATCTGCTGTATACATTTCAAAATAGCACAACAACAAAACACCTATTGTGCTTTTATTGAGCAACGTCACTGCATTACTTCAAGATTTTAATTACACTACAAAGGCAGTATACATTCATGATGTATTCATGTATGTTTGTATAGCACCAGCTGTGTGTGAGATGGAGCCTGCAGAGAGGCTGAAGTGTTTTTTGAATTAATTAGAAACTGATTGTGTATATGAAAGGATTTGTGGAGTGCAATTTCATATGACTCCAGGGTGTTGCATTATATTAAAAGGTTTCAAGATGACACATTTCCCCGGCCACAAGTGACAGCGGGGTCTGCTGCACCGACAAGGATTCTCAAAATTAGTAACCAAATTGTTGTAATCACGTTGCTCCGCATCTCGATGGGAAAACAAAACATCACAGTGCATTTGTGCCCTAATGCAACCAAAGCTTATAGATGTAAGTGCAGGACTTCAGTATATCTTTTTTAAAACTGAAATGTGTCATAACAACACACATTTCAGTTTTAAAAATTGTTTCAAAAAATGAAAAAATAACAACAGCAGCAGGTGTTTTACATCTATGCAAAAGAAACAAATTCAGATCCCCCATCTATTGCAGGCGAATTATTGAGGGTGACGTTAGCGCTGTCAAAAGTAAATGATCATTAATTTGTTCGATTGAATATCTGGAACAGTAGTAATACAAACATTATAGAACATTAAAAATAAGTCAAATATGTCTGTGGATGATGTACATCCTGGCACTCTGATTCTGTACAGTATATGTATAATGAAAAGGGTTTCTATCTTGAATGTTTTTGTTTATGGAGTTTTTAACTTCAAAAGGCTTTCACCTCATTTCCTCCTGCGCTGAATGAAATACAGTATTATTCTCTGTGCAGGCGCTGTTATGCCTGTGGAGAAGATAGTTATGCTGGCATATTTCACTGTGCATTAAGCATTATCTATGTAGCTTGTGTCGTAGCTGCAAACATTTCTGCTAAAACATTTAAAATGTGTTTTTTTATATATACATGATACATGTTTTATTTGTCAGAACACTGAAACATAGCATAGCATTAACTCACAAAATACTGTAAGAGGCAGACAGAAATTCTAATACTCATATACAGCAATGTTGACACTAATCCAGCTCGAATTGTGATGATAAAACACATTTCAGTCCTCTTAAGTATTTTTTTTTTGTTTTTACATATCAGCTTGTACACTTAGTCCTCAAAAAAAAAAAACTCCACAGGGATTTAAGAGTGTCAGATATCCTGATTCAGAGGACCCATCTAGACCTCAACAGGTTCTGCTTGTATCCCAAGTGACATATCCCCCTTGATATGAAAGTTCTGTTTTGGTTCAGCTCTCCTTTTTTTCCTTTTAGCTATAGTAAAAATATATCCAAGGATTGGTGCAGCTGTTTAGGCTGGCCAGCAACATGATGATGGCAAACACTGGACCTGTAAGAGAAAGAGACAAAGAAATGTGTAAACAAACAACAACAAAGAAAATTCTGAGGTATAATTGGACACTAGTTTGACCCAGTTTGAAGCAAACTCTCAAATGTCTTACTAATTAATAATATACACGTGAGCCTACACACCACAGTGACAGAAACAATACAATGTTACAAGCATCTTTGGTCCACAAAGGATGCGGACCTCCTATCATTTGGACAAACCTTGAGTAGGCGCAGTGCTTGGACTCCATGCAGACCATAACTGGACAACAAAGAATGGGCTCCAACACACTGTGTATGTCATTATAATAACAAATGTCATTTCCACAGTCTTCAGCATCGCGTTGGACACCCCCTTCCTGCTTGCGCGCCCTGCCTGCAGCGCCTTTCTCTTCATGTTGAAGTAGATTGTTGTGCATATTCTTATTTGGCAATAGAGCAAAATGACGGCGGGAAGGGCATACACAGACAGAGTGATCCAGCTGATGTACATCCGGCTCCCCCACGGTTCAATAAATGTCGCCCAGCAGTCGTACTGGTTCTCTTCCACCTCCCGGAGAGAGAAGATGAATAGCTGGGGAGAGCTGAAGGCGAGAGAGATCAGCCACACTGCGCCTATGGAGAGATATCTCCTAAATGAACCCTTTAAGAAGGAAACCATCGGCTTACAAACCGCATGGTACCGATCTATGGTCATAGCCACTATCATATACGTGGAGGCGAACATCCCAACCACCTGCAAGTACTTTACGCACCGGCACAGGAAGTCTGTGCCTCGGAACCTGTGCGTAATTTCAATGAGAAACTGCGGTAGGACTTGGAAAAAGGCGACCACCAGATCTGCCAAACACAAGTGCGAGAGGAACAGCTGGGTCCTCGTGTTTCTTTTTCTCTTCTTCCAAAGTGTGCCTAGGAAGAAAAGATTACCACATGTTGCGAGCGCAAAAACCAAACCCAAAATCCCAGCTCTGATGAGCGCAAACTGTTCGTACACCTCTCCATCCTCATCTGCTGGCTTTTTAGAGCTGTTGTAATCCATTTAAGCGCGAGTTCCTGATGCTTCCTGTATGTCCCGTGACTTCAGGGTTCAATTAACATTTTCTATAAGTTGGAATATTGCAATGTTGGCGCAGAGACATTTCGACATGTTCCTGGTTTGCCGCGTGCAAGTGACTATGGTGGTAGTTAGAAGGGAAAGCCGTTGCATTGAATGGGTGAAGTGGGTCAGTCTACTGCGTGGCGGGTGAATGTCAATGCCAGGCTTATACGACGCACAAACAATTAAATAAGAATAAAATTTATTGAAGCATCTTTCTTTACTGTATCAATTTAGAGATTTTCAAGTAAAAGTCATGCATTTTTACCTTAAGATGGCTTCTAGTCTGAAACATGAGGTGCCGTAAAAACACATTACTCCATCATTTCTGGCAGTGACTGATCATATTTGAGTTCAGGACAACTATGACTACATATAAAGCATTTTTACTGGATCAATGAGAATTTCCAAAGCAAAAGTTCCACATTTGGACCATGAAATGACTTCGTTTGTGAAAGTTGAGGTGCTGTAAAAACGCACTGCTCCATAATTTCACGTAGGACAGACTTACTTTCACATTAATTATAATAAAACTGAAAGAACACTGAATCAATATGAAGTTTCGTATATACAGAATTATATAGTCGGCCCCTTTAAAGCTAACGGAAATCCCCTAAAGCAACACATTCAGATTTCAAAGTAGAGGTTGGTGTGGGGTTTCCTTTCGTTTCCATTGAAAGGAGAGCCAACTGATGGGATTCCATTAATACAATTAACCCACACAACTGCCCCCTCCCCAATTTCAACGCTAATAAGCAATTAAGCAGGTCCATAAGTAGCTCAGGACACTGAGGCTGGTAAAACTAGTAGCCTGTTCTTAGACTACTAGGAACTACTCTTACTGTGTAACCTAGTTTTTAAGTAATGTGGGATAAAACCCATTTCTTCCATATGTGAAGACCCCTGGAGTCATTGGACGTCTTACGCTACTTGCACAAATACTATGAATTAGCCTACTTTCACTCAAAACTACTTTTTACTGTCGTGTTTTGAATCAAAGTGTTTCTGTGAATTGGACAGCCAGTATGCGGTGCGAGGGGGATGAGGAGTGGTGGCGCTGTCCGTGGTGCTGAAGTAGCAGACTGATTTGTTGCGCCTTTTTTCTCTCAATCCAGCCCTCCTGTCAGTATCGTCTGGGCTCTATAATATTCTCTAAAGCATATACTAAACATACTCAAATCTAGACGATACTGTAGCCCATATGGGCCACTGAATAGTGTCACCGTGATGATTCAAGTTCGACGTGTAGTCGCGAGACGATCATAGACACACATATTTTACTACAACTTTACTGTTGAAATAGTTTTTGTTATAGATGTTTGCTGTAAATTGGAGCAGGTCCCATGACCTCTATGGTGTGTTTTGAAAACTAAAGATGGTAAATGTCTGCATCCAGTAAACAGTTTGGCCTATACACAACGCATGTATTTAGCATAAAAGCAGTTCTATTAAATCGAAATTACAGTCGCAATTATAATATCAAGAATTGGGTTAGACCTAGGCCTATATGATAATCCTTCAGTCTTAATTTAAAGTAGGCTAGCCATTCAGAAGCGGATTGTGTGGATGTGGATCTCTTAGTCTAGAGATCACGCAGTTACATTTTTTCTCAAGTAACAATATCAATATTGATTGCTGAGCGGTTAGAGAGAACCGTTGTACCTAAAAACTAGTTCACTTTGGACATTGTTCACATGCAGCAATTTGCATTGGATCTCTCAAATCCTAACCAGCTTAGTAGATAGCCTCCAAGATGTTCTGACCTTTTTGGAATCATTGAATCCAGCTTGAATTCCCAGCTCAGCTGAGCATGGTGCAGGGAAACACCAGATTTGTGTTTAGAAAGAAATGTATAATTGAGATTATTTACTGGATAATAATATACATCATAATGTATTAGTTGATTTTTATTTCACGTTAATAATATGACTCTGCAAACTAACTTAAGTTCAAGGGCATCACTTTGTGTGTGACGAAACACTTAGTCCATGAGACATGATAATGCACAATATTGGAGTCACAAGAACAAGATGAGATACTCCAATGCTATTTAGAAGAAATATTCATTGATGAAATAGGCTATTCGATTGGGAGGACTAGGGGTTTCTCCCCCAGAACATTGTGAGCATTAACCTCTTAATATCCTGCATTCTAGAGACATTTTCTGCACCAATTTATGGTGGAAATGTCTTTATTTAAATGAAGGAAAACAAAATTAATGTGGCTGGTGACAAATCAGAATATAAAAATATTATAAAATATATCTGAGAAGCACTTGCATTGATTTGAATCATGGTGAAAAACAAAAGATTACAGAGAAGTATACTTGACTGATATTATTGTGGATAATTATAGTAATTGCACCAGGAGTTGCCATAAAAGCTCTGACATTTAGATTGTAGAGACAGAGAAAGAAAAATCAGTAAAATATCATCCTCAACTGAATACAGCCGTCTTAGTGTCACCACTTTACAGAGTGTGTGGCCAATCACATCCAAAGGCATGCACATTTCTTGCGTCCTTGTTTTTAGATATAACCTGGAAATCAAAAGGGAGGGTGTTAATAGTCTTAGACTGATCAATTAAGAATGAGCAAAGCCTTTCAGGTGGCCGTTGGATAAGTGAGATCAGATCATCAGAGTCTATAGCGAGAGAAAATCAGCCAAGAAAGTTGAACATTGATGACAAGAAATCTTGTTAAACATTGAGTCAACCAAACATGACAACTGAAATATGAGTTGAAGGCTGTCAAGCAACACAAATAACATTTAGCCTATATTTACAGCAGAAGTTACAGCATGAGATATGAATTAAAGGGATGTTCATGTTATTTAGTGTTGCATTTTTGTAAGATTTTAGTAGACGTGTAAAAATGGTTGTTCAAATTCGAAGCAGCAGAGGCCGAGTTATCCTGACTTTTATCCTTTCATTACACTTATCATAATGCAACTCAACTCCTTTACAGCACCACTCTTTACATCTACTGTACAAAAGTAGTAGCATAATGGAGAGACCTGTCACAGGGGCTACCAGTATATGACAGGAACAGTACAACCACCATGTTGAAGCACTGACAACAAAGGGCAAAACTATAGTGCTGTCACCATTTCATCCATGAAAATTGAAAGATAATCTCGGTGTTCATAATTTAAAATAAAATGTGGAATGGGCATGAAGCAGAAAAAGATGATAATGTTGTTATTCATGCAGCCTCTATTATTTTCTCTTGTTCTCTGCCGCAAGTGAACAGAAGCTGTCCTATTTTACCTTAAAGAGCTGCAGGTTACTGTCGTTTGGAGTCTTCCAAAGCAATAGAAATGGTGCAAATGCTATTGTGATTTTCTTTTCGTTCACACCATTGTGCCTATGCCTCTACAATACATACAAAAACTATATATTTATTGTATTTCCTGCACACATACCATTAACATTATTATTCGTTATAATAACCCCACTGTGATACTGTTAGACCTTTTCAGACTTTTTCAGGCATGTATCACTGCAAAAAGTGTGCTCTCAAACACAAGGGGGAAAAGCATTAAAATGGGGGAAATATTACTTAAAATAAGCAAAATTATCTGCCAACATAACAAGAATATTTCACTTGCTACTTAAGGACAAAAAAACTTGAAACAAGTGAAATTCTCTAACATAAAAGCAGCCTGGTAAGAAGAAATATCTTGTCAGACAAAAAACAAGTATATTTTGCCTTCAATTAAGATAATCTTACTTAGATTTTAGTTTTTGCAGTGGAACAATTGTGCCTCTCAAAAGAAGTGATTTTCAACTAAAGTTTTTGTAAATGCACCTCCACATGTACAGAATTAACCTTTACCAGGGCAGCCTGGATCTGTCAGCTGGAATAAAATATTATTATCTTTTAGCCATTGTTACATAGACATACCAACCCATGGCTCTGAGAGCACTGCAAATACCATGAAAACCAGACCCACACAAGCTAGGTGTAGTTCTACCACAACTTTTCCTGGCTTTGATTTGCAGAGAACAATAGTGTTTAATTAAACTTGTACATTGCCATGTCACCCCACTAAATTTTCCGGCATTATGAACACTTGGGAGTAATTGACAAGTATGTGTGTGTGTTTTTGTTCATTGGTTTCAGTTAATTGTGCATTGCATTGGGTACAGCTTACATGGATTTCATCAACTCTGATATATTTCCTTTTAAAGAAGCATTTTCAACATCAGATCTTAACCTTTCTATGCATCACAGTCCACTACCCAATCAAACAGACATTTGGCTTCTCTCAGTTTGAAGTTTAGTTGCATTGAATCATTGATTACTTTAAGCTAAAAACAACTGAAAGCATGTAATAATGTCTAATGACTAACAGCATGATCAGGGATAATTTAACACTACTTCTTTTATAATATTGTAATGCATTGGTGTTACTACTAACTTGAATTTCACTACTGGATTAAATGGTGCTTTCTATGATGATGAAATACCTACAATACAGCTTAGTTATGGCTATAGTGCCAGTACCAGTCAATGCATTGCAATGTTTGGAATTCTTTACACTGCATATTCTGTACTGTGGATTCTTAGTAGTCTCTGTAAATTGTGACTGATCCTGTTTTTTGCAGTAAAACTGTTATTTCAAAGATGTTTTGTCGACGTCTGGTGGCATAAATACAACATTGCACTGCAAACGGCCCAAAAATTCAGGGCCCTACGTCACCTCCTCTCTTCTTCCTGTTTATTATTTTTTTAACCAGCAACCTCTGCGTACAATCACCACAGTGAATGAAATACCTCGGCAACATATTTAACAGGCTTTGTTTCGCATGGTAAGAAGAAGACGACACTGTGCTTATTTTGTGACCTTGCGTAAAATTCGACAAACAATATAATATAAACAGCTAACGTCAGGCTAGCAGCGGCTAATGTTAAACGTTTGTCAGTCTGCACGCTGCAGTTTTTCAGCTGTCTGCTTAGCAAGCTAACGTTAGCTTTGAATCAAACATCATGAGGGGTTTAGTCATTTTAACAGGTAATACGCTTATTATCTAAAGGAAATAGCCACATTGTCTTGAATACGTTTGGCTTTAGCGTAATAAAACTAGCTTAGCTAATATTAGTAAAAAGCCATCCTGTAGGATTTAATGTAACACATAGCAAGTTGCATGTAACTTGAGTTAGTGTTTTAGGAAGGATCCAGAACATGACTCCTTCTGGGTGGTTCGGCAGTGTCTGTTGTCAGTTGGTTGAGAGGTCAAACGCTCTACGGAGCAAAGTCTTGCTCTCAATAACGTCCGCCAGCCATTTCTCCTTGAACCTGGTCATGCCGGGTGTGTGAACCAGCCTGTTTGACTCTACTATGAAGTGCACCTCCACGGGCAGAGTTGGGGGTTTGACTTTAGAAATGTCCACGACGAAGTAGACGCCAGCTGTCCCCTGAATCGGCTTCCGCGGGGTCGAGGTACTAAAACGGGCCCGGTAGTGGTAGAATGTATGATGCTCCTCCTCGGTTGAGTAAAGGAAGTCCAGACTGTAAAGCCAGCAGGGCGGCATCTCCCAGGTTTTAATATACTCCCCAATTTGCCTTTTCCCCACTTCGATCGTAAAGTCTTTGCTAACAACCCAGTTAACGTTGCTCATGTTACAGTCAGCAGAGTTCTCCACCTTCTCCTCCCTGACAGTGGGGCGGTGTCTCCCCAGCAAAATTCTCTCAAGTTGCGCGGACTCTGCTGTGAAATTCAGATTCAGTGAACGTCGGTTCACCTCTTCCATCTTGTTTTTGTAATAAGGAACAGCATACAGGGCATCTGGGGAGAGGAGGGTTTGAGTAGTTATTTTGTAAAAGCTGTCTGTTTTTGTTGCTACAACAGTTTCCAAGGCTACCAGGATGGGTATGGTGTCAAGTGGAGCCCTCTGTTGGCCCACTTTCCATTTGCAGTGTAATATGTTGGCTCCTATAAAAAGCTGTTTAAATAGTTTGTGCTGTCTCTTTTTTCCCCCAGGAAAAACTGAAACAAGCAGTAGAAATCCAGCATTGCTAATTTCCCTCCAAAATGGATTTTCTACTAAACCCACTGTAGTTAATGGCAGGCACTGTGCCAGAATGCTGCAGAATTGTGCACGTCATCCATTTGTCTGAGTAACTTCTCTGCTGTGGTTCCGACTGAGCCATCAGACGCATGTCGCGAATCAGGACCACACTCGACAGCGTCACCAAGGCAGTAGGGAGTACAGACCTCATCGCCAAGTTCTCCCGCCTCAAGCCTGGCAGCGCCATAGGCGACAGCACCCGTGTGGAAAAGGTTGTGGTCAAAGCCAAGACGGTAGCGTCCAATAACACAGCCTCACCACCTGAAACAACCATGAAAGACAGAGGAGAAGAAGGCGTAAGGAACACAGCAGAGGGAGAATCAGACAAGCAACGACAGGAAGTCACAGAAAAGCCTTTTGTTGCCACACCTAGTTTATCTTCAGCCACTCATGTGTCTGCACCAAGCCCTCCCTCGACTGTGGCAAAACAAACTATGCAGGTGTTTCACCCAGCTTCTCTGTCCACCAACATGGATGAGACTTACAAAACTCTGGCTCAGCACATCAATAGTTACTTTGGCTCCAGTGCACAAGAGGAAGGAGGCGACGACAGGCCTCCGCAGCAGCACAGAGGAGAGGGTGTTCCTGTTTCTGAGCCCATTAACATTGCTCCTCCTACAACTGGGGACCACATTCCTATTATGTCTCCTGTGGCGGAGGCTAAAAGTATTAAAACACCCACTACCTCTCCCCCCGCCCCTTCTCCATCTACATCAGAGAATGTCAGTCCTCCAGTAGGCGCGCCCTCCTCTGACATCCCTGCAACTGCAGATGCATCTCAGCCCATCCCTGCACCTGGTACCTCCCCTAAAAAAGGCTTCACCCACTATCTTACCTACCCACGGCCCAGTGTTCAGGCGTTTGTCGGCAGCTACATTGCACCCCTGGTCCCCAAATTCAGGGGTGATTCCAAAAGTGTTGCAGCTGAAAAGGAAAGGTCTTCAGCGGTCACTGTGGAAGAGCCCACTGTGGACAAAGCAGGAGAGAAGAAAGAGAGTGAAGAGGAGAAAGCGGATAAAGTGAAGCAACAGCTGTTGATTCAAAGAGAGAAGGTAAGGTGCTTATTAAATGGCCCATGAGCATTTAATGCTGAGAGCAGTCTAAACACCAAAATGGCTAAACAATATCGGTGTTGTCAAAAGTTGGTAAATACTTTGAGCTTTTTGTAGCAATAATCTTATAATTATTTTTACTAGCTTACGCAGCCTATGTTTTCAATGATTTCACTTGGTTTGAGGAGAATTTAAATTATTGCTTTGTTAAATTTTAACATAGATCAAACAAACCCCTTTAAAAAGGCTTATGGTTAAAATGTTAACAAAAAGGCATAGGAATTTTTTCAGTAAAATGTGTCAAAGGCCTGGTATTTATCAGATGATCCTGATGTTTCCGTCATGCAGATAATAGCTAGGGTGAGTGTAGACAACAGGACCCGAGCCCTGGTGAAAGGCCTGCAGAGAGTCACTGATGTCAAGCTCCTCACCAGTCGAGTGGAAGAGCTCAGCCACCACCTCCTGGAGTTCCCAGAAACACGAGGTGTAGCAATCAAGGTTAGTCTAAATTATAATTGTTTTTTTTTTTTACATATGCTGAAGCTTAATTTATTGTCAGATGTGTTGCACGGTCCTCAAATGTTTTTGTAAGTGGGACATTTTAGCAGTCAGCATGTTTGTGACCTTTAGGAGAGTGTGCTGCCCTGCCTGCTGCGTTTGCGCCAGGCCAGAGACCTTCCTCTTCAGGCTGCTGTGAGAGAAGCGCTGGCCCTGGTTGGCTACACCGAACCAGTCAAAGGCAGAGGAATTCGGGTCCTGACCATAGACGGAGGTGGAACAAGGTAAAGCTATCCCACTGCTAATATTATTTTTTATATAAAAGAACTCCAAAAATCTATTTCTTAGAAATATTACACATCATTCAATATGCCTTTACATTCTATGTTCTTATAAGCAGCAGCAACTGTCAATAAGGTCCGGCTGCGGTTTGTAGCACCGCTCATGCGGTGCCCCTCGCTCAAGCCACGCCTCCTCGCGGTACAGTCTGTAATGATTGGCTGTAGCCGCAGCACCTTTGTGCATGGTCAGTTCTGCACATACGCATACTTACTCCCGCCCAATTTGTACCGTGAATGTGTGGACATTAGGGCTGAATGATTAATCGTTTTAAAATCAAAATTGTGATTTGAAAGAACGCGATGCGCTAATCGTGAAAGCGGGGATTAAAATGTAGGTTAATTATACAGCGCATCAGACCCGTTTTAAACAGTCACGCAGTTACAGATTCGTGCCGTTGTCATCCTTGTGTGACAGATCTGCTCGCCAATCACAAGCGCGATGCGCCTCCGTTACGGTCCTACTCACCAATCAGAGCAGACACAGGGCGAGTACAACAACAAACAAAACTAGTGGAAAACGTGTTAATGGTGCCAGTCGAACCGACGCAGGTAGCGGCTCTACCGCGGTTTTGTCCGGTGTCAGCTCACACTGAAGTGTTTCAGCAGCGGAGCGTTTAGCCTACGTTGTTGACATGTTGTTAATTTGTCAGTTTGTGTGCGTCAGCTACGAAGAACAGCTCTGTGAGCCCCTTCCACTCCGCTCTCTGCAGGCTAACAACGTTACATAACCACATGTAGCATTTCAGAATAAAAGCGTTTTGCCTGTCTGATTTTGTTCTTGCTTCTGGCTTCTTCAGTTGTCCTTGATTGTTGTGCTTTTTTAACTGTGTTTATTGTTGATGTACGATCGTGAATCTGCATACAGTATTTTATTTTGAAAACTGACCGGATTCTCTATGCAGTTCTGTGTCTGACTTCTTGCCTTGTTCATCTGGGACGAGTTCAATCTCGAAACGTTTTACACCGGTTTGCAACATTTTCGGATTGAACGACATGTTTCCTTGCAACTTTCTGCAACGGGCTCCGAGGTATGTTTTTTCCCGTTTGGTGGGCGTGTCTCAGGCGTTACCCAATCAGCTGCGAAAAGTTTGTAAACACAACGGTGTTAAGAAGGCAGGAAATTTCAGTGCGCTTGCATACATGGCAAGGTGTGAAGGGAACGGCCGTTTCCGTTGAAAAAATCATTTTGCTACGTTTTGTCTGCGCTGAACTCAGCCCTGCTCTGTGCTTGACGTGGCTTCTGTCAAAAATAGACTGGCAGTGAGTATTGATCTTTAGCAAAACTTCAATAAAAAATTGCAAATTGAATCGTATATGCAATATCTGGCAGAAAAATTGCAATTGCATTTTTTCCCCAAATTGTTCAGCCCCAGTGGACATTGTAGTTGACAGAAGCCCGTGATTTAAAGAAAAACTATATTTAAAATACAATATTATACAAATACACAGGGAATTGTAGCATTACCAAAAAGACTGAAATTATAATTAAATTCTCTTACTTAATTTGTTCTTATTTCCACACGCTAAATGTTGAAGTGATCTGTTTAGTATAAGTATAGTATAAATATAAGTATAATAAGCAATTCAAACTAGGGATGACACGATTACGGTTTAATGGTAAACCATCTTATGTCGGCAGAGTCTATTCATCCACTGCACCTGATAACACTTTACGCATACGCAAACAACCAGCATATCTAGAAACGCTACAGACTCCTCTGTATTTATGTCAGTTTTTGGGCTTATTGCACTTACTATCACTGTCTTCTATAGACTTATTTGTTTTCATGTAATTGTCCACGGGGTCATTGTATTACCTATATAATATAAAATCTTTATAATGCACACTGATGATTTTCACATGTTTACAAATGGTATTTGATATAGATATATATATATATAGGGGCTCCTGTGGCTCAGGAGGTGGAGCGGGTTGGCCATTAATTGGAAGGTCAGCGGTTCAATCCCTGGCTCCCTGTGCTTTGAGTGGACTAGAAAGGCGCTATACAAATACGGAGCATTTACATTGTTTTATTTTTTATGCAAACAAAATGGCAATTGAATTTGTAGTTTTCAATATAAAACTTGTTGAAATGGTTTCAATGTGTGTATCAGTACATTTTAATCTTTTCTGGGACATTTTTACAATACCGTGATAATACTGATAACTGTGATAATTTTGGTCACTATAATTGTGATATGAAATTTTCATACCGTTTCATCCCAAATTCAAACATAGCCTAAGTAGTGCAACATGAATTATTTTTTTCATCTAAATAGTACTGTTGAAAAAAAATATTAATATTAACTTCCATTAATACAACATAAACATTTTTAAACTTAAACTCAGATCTTGATATGCGTGTTTCCACACCAGTGAAAGCTGGATATTAAAGGCTAGCCGTATCAACAGTTCCATGTATGTTGGCACAGAAAGCAGGCACACAGAAAACCAAAGACAAACCAATGCATGATTGGTGCATCTGTTTATTGAGGATGCCCACAAATGTTGCATATGAAGTGAATAAAACAGAATAAAATACCACAATATAATCAAATAATATTTAAAAGAAAACACAGAACAATAAAAAATGTGGGTAAGGATCTTAATCGAAACATAAAACTTTGGAATAACATTAATTAATAAAATGCTTATTGTTAAAGATTATATGATTATTTAGATTAAGAACTTTAAACAGCTGGAATGAATAAATTTTTTTTAAATGTACTTATTTGTCCAATAACATCATAAGTTCAACTTCACTGGCCCGTGATTACGTACCTGCTGCTTCTGCTGCGCCATTACTTTACAGGAACCTGCCTTCTAGTCTGATGAACTTTGACCCACACTGAGACCCACACAATCCAAAAATTAAAAAGTGAAATGATGGGAACTAATGTTGTTGCAGGAGACTACCACAAATATAATCTCTTCATTTTTGCCAGTCTAGGTTTGTAAACCTTGTGACTTTGTTACAGGGGCTTGCTGGCCCTGCAGACTCTCCATAAACTGCAGATCCTGACTGGCAAACGAATCCACCAGCTGTTCGACTATATCTGTGGAGTCAGCACAGGTATATGGTCCTCACTGTTTAGTGTTTGTAATTGTTTGTTCTTTCACTCTTCTATAAAACCGACCATCACTGACCCCATATGTGAGGTTGTGTAAACTCCCAATACTGTCCCTTGGTCACCGGCTCATCACACTTATTTCTCTCCACTTCAGGTGCTATTTTGGCCTTCATGCTGGGAATTTTTCAGATCCCCTTAGAGGAGTGTGAGGAGATGTACAGGAAGCTGGGCGCGGATGTCTTCAAACAGAATGTCATCGTCGGAACTGTCAAAATGGGCTGGAGCCATGCTTTCTATGACAGCCAAATGTGGGAAAACATCCTCAAGTTAGTCCGGACAACTTTTTCATCCCTCCTTTTTCCCCAGTCTTTCCATTCCTTTACGGCTCTCCTTGGCACTTGATTTTTAAACATTGGGGTAGTGTAATTTGTCAGTATCTTTAATCTGCTTTTGTGTTTTCTTTAGGGAAAGGATGGGTGAGGTGCATATGATTGAGAGTGCCAGGGACCCACACTGCCCTAAAGTAAGTCACATATCTTTTCAGCTCTACACTGTTTAGATAAACACTTTTAAACATTTGTGCATGGGTTCATCTTGTATTATTTGTAATCATTATACAACAATTGTGTACTTTTATCAGCACGCCTCATCCACATATCCAGCATATACTTTGTCCTCAGCTTGTGCTCTAAGAAAGGATGACTTTGCATGTTCCTCTCTAAATACGTCCTTTGTACATCCACCAGGTGTCAGCAGTGAGTGCTATTGTGAACAGGGGTTTACCTCTGAAGGCCTACGTGTTTAGGAACTACAGACTCATGCCAGGAATCAGGTCCCACTACCTTGGAGACTGCAAACACAAAATGTGGCAGGCTATCAGGGCCTCGTCTGCCGCTCCGGGCTACTTCCAGGAATTTGTGCTGGGAAAAGACCTCCATCAGGTACGACATGGAACTGAGAGAACTGGGAGGTGTCACTGCTCAGTTTATTTATCCAACTGGGCTCCTGTGTGTCAAACATTTTTCAGGTGTTTCAAAATGAAAAAAAATACTGTGTCTCAGTCAGTGTTTGCAGCAGTCTAGCCTAGCTGGTGTTGTCAAAATAACCAACATTTTAATATCAGTATTTAATCCAATATTAAATCTATAAGTAGTTGGTTGGTTTTGAATGTCAGTGCTAGATCTACCCTGCAACAGCAATGTGTCCTGCTGACATATGTTATGAGTAAGACAATACTCCTGACTGTTTATTAAATCAAATGTCTGCCTAAGTGACATGCTCTGCGATCTCTATTAGATGATCTTTCAACTGAATACTTGGTTGCACAGGCTTGTGATAAAATGCCATGATTTTAGTGGTTCTCCGGATAACAAGCTTCACATCACTTAGCATTAGCATTCTCACGCTGACTAATTATGTAGTGTATTAGGGTAATGGATGTTAGCTCTTTCTTCTTTTGAGTCACAGGGACAGAGTGGAGAGAATAAAATATTAGGTTCAAGAGTGGTAGATTAGATTTAAATAGGAGGTGACTGAAAGAAATGAGCCTCTTAAGTTATCTGATAAATAATTACACTGTATCTCCATACATACGTTAGTGTTTTTCATGTTCTACTTTTATACCGCTTGGGCCCACATAATCGAGCGCCTTTAATGTGTTATTTTATGAAGTTTGATTATTAGGCCAGATATCTTTAGATGGTCTTATGGGCACCAATTATGCTCAAGGCTTAGCTTAATTTTGACAACCTACTTAGGGAAAATTAGTCTGCTTCTAACAAGTATTTCTCTCCCATGCTATTTTCTATTGCAGCACTCCTTGTAGACAGCCCTTTACAGTGTTTTAGTAAAATATCCATAAAAACAAAACAAATGCCCTCCTGATTTTTTGCCTGAGCCCAAGCTTTTCCAGCTAACCTAATGTAATTGCATCCACTGACCCCCCCAAAACATGTGACGTCTGTTTTAATTTAGCTACTGCTTCCATTTATTTCCAGGTATCTGTTTTGAGTTTTTCCCATGGACTCTGGGCTGACAGTAGAGATGGAAAGATGGAGAGTGAAGTGTGTGTGTGTGTGTGTGTGTGTGTGTGTGTGGTTCTCCACATTCCTCTTAGTTACATCTCAAATTGAGCTACCGCTGCCACCCACTGGTCTCACTCCTACTCTAGTTTTCAGCACTAGTGTCGGTATTTCTCAGGAAAATTGCTGCCATTTCAAGGCATCAGATATATATATATATGTATACACACACACACAGTGGAGGAAGATACATTCAGAGACTCAATGTAGAGGTAAAATTTTCTCCCTGAGCTGTAGCTTTTGTATAGCAGGCAGTTATTATGCAATAGCATTATATCAAGTCATTTGCCTGCGTGAGGATGCTGCATTATAGCAGCATTTTGTTGCGCAGGTGTTGTGATTGGATGCAGGGTGCATGTCATTCAGATATATGAGACCCCAGGCTGAGAGGTTAAGGGTCGGAGCTGAGGAGCAGCTGTGTAATTAACCTGCTGTCTCAAGAGTGCGAACTGTGTTCCACTGTTTCTATAGGTTACACCTGAGGGTATAACAGTTTTATTGTAGAATAATATGTTTCAGGCAGTATTTTCTTATACTTGGGCAGCAGGGGGAACTGTTTGAGAGCACCAGTCACCCAGACACGAACATTTGAATCCAAAATAAGTTTCCTAGAATAACATATTCAGCCTATACAGGTATTTTTTAGCTAGTTTAGTTGAGAAAAATGGTTTAATTCATATTTATCCCAGAAGAAGAAGAGCATTCAACCCCCCCAGCCCCCATAATACATGCGGGCAAATGACCTTTACCCCTGCTTTCCTGCTCTGCTGAGGCGGATCAGACCTCCTGTGTGCCACACTCTCCATCTCTATTAATCCACGCCAAAAGCCCTTCAGTGGTTGGATAGGGTCCCACGCTGGACTTGGGGAAAGACTGAGAAAGAATGTTTAGCACTAAACCGGTCAAGGCATCCACTCAGCTTCATTGTCCTCTTTCTCTCATTGTTGGCATCATTTAACTCAACTCTTCAACTCTTTCATGAATCCAGTAACATTATTCAGTGAAGAGGAAACAGCACAGGCCAAGGACATAATTTGTGATTAGCTTCTAAATTAACTCAGTCAGGATTAGAATACTGAAATGCAATATGCTTTAAAAATCAAGCTAAAGAATAATGCAGCAATTACACTCTTTATATAGCTAAATTCTTGACCAAATTACAAAACAAATGCTTTGGATGGCTGCTTTTCCTACTTGTTTACTTCTGAATAAACAGGGCTGTTTGTCAGCGCAGCGCAGCACATCTCTGGCCAGGGAGCTTCTTTTCCTCTGGCCTAAAGCTGAGTAGCTCTGGGACAGCTCGTCCACTTCACCTCGTGTGTCCCCTACAGGCTGCCACAACAAATATATTAAACCCAGAGGTGCATTCTATACATACAGAGTGTCCCATTTGTGCATTGACCTTGTTTAGTAAGCATATTTGACTGACGAAATGCTGAAGATGACTTTACAGTTTTGTGGTGGGTGGTGAAAAGCAAATTTTCTCCCCTGCCTCAGTTCCACTGCAAATAAACATGTTTCTTACATGTGCCCATTGCAGACAATTTAATCATGCTCTTGATCAATTGATCAAGCTCTGTCCTTGTTCTTGTCAAAGAGGGAGCGTGTTCTTGAGTGTTTAGTTTGGATATGCGGATGAAGATGCAGTATTTGTATTAAACAGCCACACACTCACACACATCATAGACTTATTACCTTACAGGTGGGTTACTTTGGGGTAATAGGCATCTTAATATCCACTCTCTTCTCCTTTTAGGATGGAGGACTCCTAATCAACAACCCCACAGCGTTGGCCATCCACGAGTGTAAGTGTCTGTGGCCTAACACACCACTGCAGTGTGTGTTGTCTCTGGGCACCGGACGGTACGAGACGGCGGGCAAGAACAACACGACCTACACAAGCCTCAAGACCAAGCTCACCAACGTCATCAGCAGTGCCACAGATACAGAGGGTAAGACCACCCAAAATGTTGTTTGGGCAGCAAGTTCTAAACCACAGATTAGAGTCGTGCAGTCACATGCAATGTGATGCACGCCATCCCTCTTATTAAGTGCTGTGTCTTGGAATGTAAACCAAAAGAGAGAATGAAAAATTGCCAGTAACTAGTGTCCGACTTTGATAACTAAAATCTGGCCTCCCTATCCTTATTGCAGAGGTGCACACCATGCTGGACGCTCTCCTGCCCCCCGACACCTACTTCCGCTTCAACCCCTACATGAGCGAGGACATCCCGTTGAACGAGAGCCGAATGGATAAGCTGAACTTCCTCAAGAGCGAGGGGGCGCGCTACCTGGAGCGCAACGAGGCCAAGCTGAGGAAGGCAGCAAGCGTGCTGGGCCAGGAGAAGAGCGCCATCCAGAGACTGGCCGAGTGGGCCAAGCTCAAGTCTGACATGTACGAGGGTCTCCCCTTCATTTCTAAGTTGTAGTCAATGGCTTGGCCACAGTGTGACCTTGAGAGTTCTTAAGGTAAGAAGACAAGGAGTGTAAGAACTCCCAAGACCTGATAGATCCAATGTTGAAAGGGAGCAAACTGGTCATCTCATCATCTACCTAACACTAAGACTGAGTGTATAACTATAATTATTCAAGACAATAGTATAGTGTTAATAATAATGTGATATTACAAATGTAAATTGTGGAACAGAATGTGTCTTTGATGGAGACAGAATAATGTACTTTGAAAAGGATTCGGCAGGTTTTGACACAGATCATTCACTTGAGTGATCAGAGAAAGGGACTGTATGTGTACACAAGTTCTTAAATGTATGAGTCTTAAGCTCGCTAAAAGTGTTGGTTGACTGACTGACGGTTGTTTGTGGAACGCAGAGAGACGGTAATGTGGCATTGACACATGACCATTAGAATTAATGATATTAAAAACTTTTGGCTTTGAAAAAAAAAACTTGAAGATGTAATTAATACGTGATATCACAGTGAGAACATAAACATGACTGCCTTTTTTGTAACACTGTACAGAAGACAGTCTTCATGCACTTTGTAAAATATAATTCTTAACCAAGGAAATTTAATTATGAATTATTTGAGTGCTCTTGCTGGAATTATAGTATTGGCACATACAGCCACACTGACATCTACGCTGTTTTCCTCGTGGTGCAAAGCATGTTCTCCATTGTGGCCCGTTTTTCAGTATGAAGCTTTTGTCTTTAACCTCGCTCAAGCCTGAACTCCTCAGCCCTGGCTGCTGTTGTTGTGCACTTTATATATTTGACACAGGTTATACATTGTGAGCATCCTAATTTCCCCCGATTCCTCCCCTTGTTATTGCTTGGTGGAATACAAAAAATGTCATGAAAAAAATAAAACGCAATTTTCAAAACCTCAATATCAATTCTGTTGTCTTTTGACCCCTGACCTCTGTATGATTTTAGTTCATTTCTGCCCATGAAATTACTGGGTGGGGAACATATGGCACAAGAATGTATGTCATGTTGTTTGTTTTAATCGTGTTTATCTGCTTTTATGTACTGCTGCCACACACACACATATCACAGAGCTGCCCCAATAGGGTTGTCACAAAGGAATGCGTGTCTTCCTATGATGAATTGCTTTTTTCCCAGTTGCGCACGTTGATTTTCTGCTTTATTGTTTTTATCCCATTGAAAATCCACTGAAATTCCACAGTGTCATTCCTCCCAGTCACGCTGTCGTTTCCCCAATCAACGTGAACAATACGCCACGAACGCATACCTACAAACCTCCAGAACAATGACAGATCTCAAGAATAATGTGTTAAGTGTCTCACTTGACTGATGCCTCACTCCTGGTTTCAAACAAAGTTGTAACTGGCTTGACTGATAGATTGATGACCTATTTTTTTCTTTTTCCCCCCAATGGCATCTTAAGCTTTACCATAGCAAGCTTCACCCGAACGTCAAGGTCTGATTTATGGCTTTGTAGTCAACACTTGGCCTTACTCTAGGAGTTTTCTGTCAATAGGTAAACACTGATACTGAGGTGACAGATTCTGTAAGAATATCTACATTGAAAGCTGGCAATATATGTATTCAGGGTCAGTACACCCAAATCACAAAATTGCAGATCAGTCTATTCTGCTTCGGTTTTGAAATATCAGTTTTGAAATTTCCAACACTTCCAATACACAACAAAAAAAAAAACCTGTATTGTATACATGTATACACGTGTGATGTGTATTTTTCAGTGCTTAATTAATGATTCCCTTCACATGAGATTAACACACTCTGGTGAGGTTCATCCTGTTGGCAATGTCCTTGAGTGTGAAAGGCTAAAGTGCCAAGGTAAGTCTGCCAGGCTGTGTTTACATGAAGGAGTGGGAAATATATATATATATAGTTCATACCACTGCCCTATTAGTTGCTTGTTGTGGCAGGAGCTGTCCGTCTCTCTTCCTCCTCCTCCTCCTCAAGCAGAATTGGATTGTCTGGTCTTATGGTGTTCCCTAGCAACTGTTATATTTCCCTTTCTCATTTACAATCATCTCAATGTGTGTGTGCCCACGTTTGCCTAAAATGGTCCCTGATCTGGTAGAACAATCTACACAATCCACGCCTTTTATTTTGCTGCTATAAGTGGGTCTTTGACACTTGAAATTGTAATGCACTAAGTTTTCTATCAATGTTTCAGGGCTGTGCTCGTTTCTAGTTTTTCAGCTCCTTCAGTTGGCACAAACTGTTTGTTGGCACATCCTGGCAGGTGTTAGGCTATCTTATATAAACAACAGTGCAGCATGTGAAAAGACGTTAGTACAGGCTGTCTCACCTTGTTTAGCCCTGCTTTGTTTTTAAATGCACGGCCGTATCAGAGCCTCACTCAGTGGGCCGTAGCTGCAAGTACATAAAAACAGTTAAGCATGTGATCATAATCGATGATTTTACAGTGGCTCCAGTGATGCATGTAAACCAACAGATAAGTCACTGAGGGGTGAGAAGTGTGTCTGTGTGAAGCCCACATAGGAATAGAAATGAGGAAGAGGGAATGGATTCATCTGCCCCATGTGTCTCCGCAGAGGACAAAATCACCCAAAGGGATTCACATACAGTCACTCTTCTTCTGCACTTTCTTCCCGCTGACCCTTGTCTCCTTTCCTGGGTCATCTCAGGATTTGTAGGCCCCAGCTGCTTCACATCACTGTTTGTTAAGGATGTCGCTCTGACCAAGTTGGGAAGGCGGTGTAAACAATAACAGTATGGAAACCGGTATCTGGTAGCTGTCAAAGAGACATTGTCGTACTATAATATATTCTTTCTTGTATAAACTTGTGTTAAAGTACACAGTTCCCCAGAAGCAGGAGTAGGTCCTGAAAATGTAAGATGATACTGAAAAGTGTTTAGTGTTTTGTCTAGAAAATGATTTTGGCACAAATATTAATTAAAAAAATACCTTTTAAATGATGCCTGTTAATCAGTTTACAGACCAATAGGTGATCATTTTACTGTAGTGTTACTGAAAAGTCAGCTTGGAACAGAGAGACAGTGCGCACACAGTTTCAGTAATGGCAATGGAAATATGTTGAAAGCGCCTGGGAGTATTTCACACTCCGCAGCAGTATGTCTACAATGTCATGCTGTGGGGGGAAAAAAAACATATCTGTCCGTCTCCTCATTGAAAAAGAAACTGCAGAACAGTTTGCACAGTGCTGTGGCTTTCCACAGATATCTGCCAGCCTATAAGTGCTTGAACTCACCTGCACACACAAAAACACACACCCACACCCACACCCACACACACACACACACACATCCCATTTGTCCAAAGAGCCCTGCATCAATGTCATACAACACTGCCCCATCTTCTAAGTCAACATGAAGATGCTTGAAAAGATAATTATATGATGTTTTCTAGTTACACCCATAGAAAACAATTATACATTTAAATCAATGAGCTGGTGCATGACTTTTTTAGGTCTGTGGGAGTCAAGCACATGCATTTTCATCTCATATTAAATCATGTTTTGTGAGAAGAGCGCCATTGCATTACTTCCCCTGGGACTTGTCACCATTACTAGTAGCAACTGCACATGACTCACTCGTGAATGCTAATGCCCTTCGGCCTGGATGAGTGTTAAATGCATTTATCATGTGAAGAAACTGCACATGTATACCCTTTATTTTCACACGGTGCTGATGACCTCAGCGTGCCCTTATGATGAGCGTCCACATTAAAAAAGCCTTTTCACTGAAAAATTAAGGTGAAAATATGTAGCTGCTGTTTAAAACAGACGTCACTTCTTTCACCACTCATCTGACTGGTAGAGTGAGAGAGAAACAGTGCGGAAAGTACTGGTATTGATGGGTGCCATACTGATGACAAGGTCTTAGTGTGTTAAGACATGCTTGGGCTGTTGGGAGTGAGTGATGTGGGAGGGGTGGGGGGTGTTCACACACAGCTGCCTTGTGAGCTCTGCAGTCCAAAATGTGATATGGATAGGTGGGCCAGTAATGATAATGTAATGTGCAGTGGGCCGTTTGACACCTGCGCTGCCATGTCTGTGTCTGCATGGGCCACCTATTCTGTGTTGATGATCATGGGACACATCTAGAATCAGGATATATTTTCAATTTGTTTATTTAGCCTTTATTGTAGAGTCAACAGCAAATGCAAATTTTACTATTTTGCATGAAAAGGTCCCTGGTCAGTGTCATTGTTTTACTATTATATATTATGCTTCTAGATTAATATTACTGCTGCTTTAACGTGTACCATAAAACTTATAGTCCCTTTTACTGACCTACTGTGGCTTCCCGTTTTGACTAAAATATAGTAAACACAGGTCTCATTTAGAAGCCTGGTCTGTTTTTTTTATAGAAGTTATTTGGATGTATAAAACCTCTTAAACCCCACTTGGTTGACTTGGACTAGTTCTAAACTGCTTAGATTGCACACACAAATATAAATGTTTGAATATAAACTTATGGACATGTTACACATCATTCGTCAGTTAGATTCGCCACAATTCATTTGTTCTGTTCATTTTATGGAAACACCTAGCTCAGTCTGTTCCTGAGGTTGGCCTAGATGGGCTGTCTCTTGGGGATACTGTAGATCAAATGAATGAGTCGTAATTGATATATTATTTGATAGCCAAATTTTTAGACAAATAATATTTACACTGTTTGAAACATAAACAATTTGATAGTAGCCTGTTTACCATCATTGCTGAGCAAGAGTTTTGTGCAAAAGGAATTAAAGGCAAGTCCCATATAGACGCCTGTTTCAAATATAGGCAGAGTGAGTTCAGTGATTGAGGGCTATTAAGTGAAGTTTTTCAGTTTTTTACTGCTGTAGTTGTGCTAATTTGAGCTACTATATATCCTGCTGGGTAATTTAATCTACAGCAATATAGCATTTTCTAGAAGAACATCATATGTTTGTCTTGTGAGCACCGTGTATCTCTAAAAAGTCAAGTTTTCATGAGCTCAGCTTTGTGACGGTGCGTCTTCCAGCTAATCCAAGGGGGCCAACACGGGGCAACTTTTAAAGCAATCATGCAGGGCAACATTGCCGTCAATGGCAATGAGTAAAGATGATCTTGCCACTTGCCACTAGCAACATTGCTCAAAAAGTTGCCCCGTGTATCATCAGCTTAAACCTCAGAGCAACCAGGGTGCCCTCAAAAGTGGATCATTAAAGTATCACTACATTTGTTATATTGCACACTCCATGAAACACTCAAGATACTAGACGACCAGTGAGTAAATTGCTAAGTTATAACCTTTTTAAAATCTGGCAATCAAATTATAAATATCAGAAGGAAAATATATAATCACCCAGGCAAATTAGAAACCAGGAAGAAAAATGTTATTCTCATGATAAATGCACAAAAATAGCATACAGATTAAAAACTACTACATTATTACAACAGGCATACAGGGTTACAGGTGACCTTATTTTCGAAATAGAGAGCTTTCATTAGATACAATGACGAACCACAGCAGTAGCGTACTCTATTGTTCATTTCACATATTGGTGTGCAGGTCCCACTGCTGCCGCTCATTAAAACGGGGTCGCTGCAGTTGCGTTTTTTCTCTCTTTCTCTCCGCACCGGATTGGCAGCGATTGATAGAGAGTGAGAAGAAAATCAAGAGGTCTCACTCTGAGATATCTTCCATCCACCAAGTGGCCTAATATGTTGTGGAGACTGGAGTCTTCACAGTGTAGCAGAGATGGAAACCCACTCAATCCTCACATTTCTCAGCCTTGCTGTAATGAATAATTCGCTATTATAAACTATCTAGTTGCTCCAGAGGCATAAGCACCGTGATTGGTCGGCTGGGTAGCCTCGCAATGCCTCCGAGCCGACCGGAAGTATTCAGCGCTTTGAAGTAACTTGTAGTAGCTGCCAAAAGGGCGGCTGTAACACAGTGAATCAATATATTTGACCGTCGCAACCCGAGCGAAATGACTCATTCGCTCAGTAACATTTGAAAAGGCGACACCAGCCGCACGTTTACAATTTAACCCCCATTTACGTTAGCGGAGGGCTAAACCGGAAGTTAGCCTGCTCGGCCGGCAAAAGTCAACACGGTGGACGCTGCAGCGCAACAGCCGACTAGCGTTTGGGGGTGTGATCGCAGAATGACGGACACACCTACGCACAAGTATAAATACGCACGTAGACCCTACGCAGGAGTATAAATGGGCCTTAAGCCTAAATGCGCATCAATAGATCTAGGCTATTTCCACCAAGAGGGAGCATAAAAACAGGGCCGAAAAAGGCATATGTTTTTCACTGTAACAATGTTGTCAAACGATGCAAATGTTTCCTCAGAATACAAAGGCACCTTGAAAGAGCCCCTGCGCGAGGACCAACCGACGCCCACTCGGGCCGAGTCGGGCTGGAAAGCGGGCCGGGTTTTCGTCTATGAGTGTGTCGTCTTCTCGAAGGCATAGACGATCTTTGTCGCTGCTGGTTTTTGACAGCGGCGGGGGGAGCTGGTGAGGAGAGCGGAGGATCCGTGTGGACCACAGCTTGCTGCTGCAGCGGCAGAGAGTGGGGACGTACACACTGGCCGGGCCCGGTCCCTTAAACACACACACTCATACACACACACACACACTGCTCATCATTTTCTACAGCATCAACACACGCTCACTGCGGGGGAGGAGGAACCAGGAGCCGGTTTGCAGCAGACTGTGAGTTTGAACATGCCTTGTTCTTTCTGTCTTTCTTTTGAAGATGGGGGGATTGTTTTCCTCCCGTTGTCTTCAGTAGGCTATCATAATATGTCGTTTGAGAATAATGGTGCAGTGGATGTGTCAAGTCGGTGCATTTTCATTCTCCACAGCATCCCAGTGATGCTGCCTGACTAGGGTGGCCAGGTGCGAGTAATATATAACAATATGGAGGCGCCCGACGCCGATTGTCGTGCTTTTTTAAAATCTGGATTCTGCTAAGCATCAGAGCAGACCACTGCAGCCGCGCTGCATCTTGAAGAGCAACCATCAAAGCAAGCAGAGGGAGAGAAGGAAGGCAATGTGTTGATCGGCCGTTGTGTTGAATGAATCCACTGAGCGGTGGTTGCAGCAGCAGCAGCAGCAGCAGGGTTTGTGCTTATTGTTGCTGCTGCCGGCCGGTGCTGCCAGGCCCCACGGCGCTGAGCGGATTATTTGATGTCTACCGGTGATGCTGCCAGATGTAGCTCAGCTCCTCTAGCTGTCAGTTCAAGTGTTTTGACTTAAAGGAAGGCAGCACATCCCCTAAGGCCTTGTTTTCAGATATTAGACTTGGAGGTATATGAACAGGGGCAACGGCCTCCTATGCTTTTATTATTGGTCATCATGTTTAATTGATTCTTCTATAAAATAAATCAGAAGATTCCATGAAGACAAATTATTTGATTTTTTTTTTGCCGTTTCTCTTTAAAATATTGTCTAACTCTCGACCATTCCTTGTTTTTCATTGAAGGAACTATAGCTTTCTACATGTCTCCTGAATGCAAAGACTGGCAGTCAAGATTTATTTGGCAGTTGGAGTTGATTGCACCGGTTGCAGTCGATCAAAGAAGATCCCCTTTTGGATGAATTCAAACCCCATTTGTAAAGGAATCCCAAGCCTAATAATACGTATTTGCAGTCAATATTGGTGCTGAAATTCAGTTAATTTATTAGTCAAATAACAAAAATATCGAGTAGGCCAAATCATTTCAGTCAGTTTACAAGCAAAAGAGCCAAATGCTTTCTGGTTTTAGCTGCTTAAATGTAAAGTTGTTGCTTTTTCTTGACATATATGATGGCAATATGGACAGTTGTACAGATTTTTATATGCACAATTATGAATCTATTAGTGTATTGATGAGTAATGAAAATAATTGTCAGTTGCAGCCCATGTCAAGATACAGTTTTTTGTAAACTGTATGCATGCTGATATGAATGGTATTTTAACATAAACGTATATTTTATGATGCTAGTGAAAGGTGGGCTGTCCTGTGTGTATGTGTGTGTGTGAGAGAGAGAGAGCGAGAGAGAGGGAATATAGAGGGTCACCATTCCCACAAATGTCCCCCATTGTCTTTATAATATATACTCACTTATTGCAGCATAAAATTCTGTACCATCTCTTTTAAAGGCCTATACTTTTTTCCACATAGATGCATGCAGAGTTGCTCCGTGGTAGAGAATTGATAACAGACAGGCTAGTTGTTTGATTCCCATTGGGGCTACATGTCACTGTGTTGCGAGTTTGTTTGATTGGTGATATATAACAGATGCTTGGCAATATTGTTTGCTGTATATAATGTGACCAGTAGTGGGTCTCACAGCTGACTAGAAAACAGCCCATGAGTAATGACAATCATTGTGATGGTAATAAGAATCCCACTATCTGACAGTGTGGATTTATTTCATGCAGTGTTATATTATTATATTTGCAGTCGACATATGCTGTAGTAACACTATATGATTCAGGCGTTGCAGGGTGTTCACTTTGACTAGAGGTCGACCGATATGTTTTTTTTCACGCCGATGCCGATACCGATCTTTTGAAATCCGGGTCGGCCGATTAATGCTGCCGATTTATTTTGGCCGATATTTGCTTGGTTTTTAACCTCTATTTGCACCGAACTGAAGCACAGAAATCCGCGTTGATATTCGGTGCGGTAGATAACGGTCGTTAAGGTTCCAGTGCTGTATTAGCACCGGGTCTGTCTGTAGCTACCCGTTAGCAAAGCAAAGCCAGTCTGTCACTAGCCTATAGTGCGTTGGCTATTTTTTATTACTTATTTCTCTGCATTGAGTGACAACCCTCTCAAATATAAGACACACAAACAGAACAAATAAAAGTCTCAGATTCACTCTGTAATAGCAAAATTATTGCTTACTTATTGTGACATGATAGCAACTCTTCTGTGATAATGCAACTTCAACTACGATCCAAATTAGCCGAATGTCATGTGTCTTATTCAGGTTTTTTCTCCAAGTTGGCAGTAACATATCAAAAGTTTTTAATTAAATATAAAGGAGTAATAAGAATTGAATCCTTACCGTTAGCTCCTTAGGCACTGGATGAGGTCTGCTGCTCACTCGGCTGGAATAATGACTCTAGCGGCAGCGCGCGTCAAACACGTGTTCCACGACAACACTAGGCTGCCCACAGATGCGCCTGCCTAATAATCGGCTTGATATACTTGGATATTGGCCGATGCCGATTCTGTTAAAAAATGCCAAAAATCGGCTGATTAATCGTCCGACCGATTAATCGGTCGACCTCTAACTTTGACCCTCAACCATACTTGTAAATAGGTACCAATACTATATTAATATCTTGTATGTACTGTATATTTGGTAAATATGTAAATTCCAAGTCAGTTGTGTTGTAAGTACTGAGCATTTTTCTCTTCAGTACAAAATAACAGAAGACAACTGCAAGCTTTGTATTCAGCTGGTAAATGTGGTAAATAAGTTGCAGTGAATGAGAAGCTTTTTGGTGTGTTGTATAAACCTGAAGCTACTCTAGAATGCTAATAGCAGGCTGCTAAACAACATTTTGAAAAGTCCCAGTCAGCGTTTCATACTGTATTCTTTATTCAGGAACATAACAGGAGCTGAGACATTTTCTATGGTTTCCGTTCTTAAAAGCTTTACAACCTTATGATGAAGCTCTCTGCTGTGAAATAATAAAGAAGTAACATTAACAGAAAAGTAAGCTGGATTTTACACAAATATTAGAGCATCCTGTTATACTTAGCAGTCATTTCATAGTAGTGCTTTGCAACAGTGAAAGTCCACAATAGAACAGGCCTTTTTCATAGCAGACATTTTGATATGTCACAGTAGTAAAAGCACAATGAAATTAAAGGATGGCATATAGACTCTTGAATGGACTGGAGCCATTGTTAATGATATTAGTAACGTTTTCCTACTATGACAAGTCAAAATGTCTGCTATGAAAAAGGCCCACTGTCCTAAAGTTCAAATAACCTACTGTATATAAAAATATTGAACATCTGGTTTGTTAAAGTGATCCTTTTTTCAAGTACTTACTAACAACACTGTTTATTTAAATGTATCTGGGCTGTTAATCAGTTAGTATTGTGGGAGTATTTTTTATTTTTGATGAGTACATCTCATTTTGGAAACGAAAAACACATACCGTGCAATGCTGGAGCATGTCATGGCATGATAGGAATTGTGTGCTGGCACCATCACTGTTGGCGAGACCTCAAGAGACATAACAAGGAACGACTTCAGTCTCCTGTGACAACTCCCCAGACTGCCGGTGCAGAGCCAGCACTGAGCCATTACTCATGGCAGATGCAGTGTCGTCGTCACTCTCCCATTTATCCACGGCTCATTAGACACAAGCCAGGTGATGGAGCTTATGGTGGGTTTAGGTGCATTCTCATTCTGCCCACTGTCGCCTTAAGTGATGGGACAATTTTCATACAAGGGATATGCATAATATTGCTTTCAGGGCTGTTTGGGGATCAGGGTTGAGGTCAGCTCCCTTTGACTTCACCCAGGTGACACTGAAACAGTGACATGTGACACTGTTATAGCTTTCAGTCTCTATTACTTATTTTTTAATATAGATTGTACGTTTTTATTGTGACTAAAATACATTATCTTGTAAGATTACATTTTGATTGAGTAGTTCTCTTTGTAAAACATGAAAGGAAACCTCTTGTGTTGATATCGTGGTACTGATACATTGGCACACTGTTTTATCAGCCTTTATCAGCTTTTAAAAAAGCATCATTAATATTTGCCCAATGTTATGATTGACTGTGTTTTGCAGGAGTAGATCACTCCATGCATTTATCAGATTAGCAACAGAGTGTGCATGATGCTTTTATGCATTTGTTAAAATAAGCTAAATACCCTTTAGGCACAGTGGTGCAGTGGTTAGCACTGTCACGTCACAGCAAGAAGGTCACGGGTTCAAACCCTGGTTGCCCTGGCCTTTCATTGTGGAGTTTGTATGTTCTCCCCGTGTCTGCGTGGGTTCTCTCCGGGTGCTCCAGCTTCCTCCCACCGTCTAAAGACATGCAGACTAGGTTAAGTGGTGACCCTAAAGTGTGAGTGGTTGTTCGTCTATGTGTGGCCCTGCAATGGACTGGCGACCTGTCCAGGGTGTATCCTGCCTTTTGCCCGATGCCAGGATAAGAAGTTGATGATGGATGGATGGACCCTTTAGGCTTAAAACATTTGTTTTCATTATCAATTATTTTGGCCATTATTACTTGTTAATAATTAATTAATGGGTTGGCCTGTAAAATTTCTGAAAATAAATAGTGCACACAATTTGTCTGACCAACAGTCCGAAGATATTCAAGTACAGAGATTGAAATTGGAAATCATCACATTTGAGTGTTTTTGCTGTAAAAAAAAATGGACAAAATAGTTCCAGATTAATGTTTCTGTGGAATGGAAATGAATCGTTTACTCTATGAAATGTCAAGAAGTATTAAAAAGTGACCATCACATGTTATGAAAACCCAGGGTCCTTAAAGGCCATGTCTTTTTTCTGGACTAATGGTCCATAACTGAAAGATATTACATTTACAGTTATATAAAATAGAGAAAAACTAAAAATCCTCATTTGAGAACCTGGAATTAGCAAATAGTTGTTTTTTTCCCTTAATTAAATTAGGCCTAAGACTATCAACATTTTTGCAAATTCATTTCCTGTTATAAAG